CACACCAACAATCTGAAATGGTCGACTAACCGGGATCGGGTGGAGTGGTGCGCGGTGATGACGTCCTCCACCAGTGACGATGGTGCACTCAGGGCAGTTGGTGACTAACTTTACGACATCACTGTACATACCATCCCACCACCTTTGATGAATCAGGGTTCCACAAGTCTTAACTCCAAAATGTCCTCCAGTCAGTGAAGAGTGATACTCAGTGAGCAGTTGCTCCCTGAGATGTTCTGGGATGGCTACACGCTTGTGATACTCTTGCTTGTGATAGAGAATGATCTCTTGAAGTGTGAACTGGGGTTTCTGCAGAGCAATCCGTCTAGCTGTCTTTCCTTCCTCTGGCAGATCTCCGCACTCCAGATAGTCAATGAGTTCTTTCAGTCTTCGATCACGGCATTGCTGCACTAAGTCCTGACACTGAATGGTTGTCGAAGAGGAATGAAGTAGATCAGTCACTTCTGTGGGAGGTGACACGGACGTACCATCTTCTTCAAGAGGGTTTGGTTGGACATTTGAGACTTGTAGCTCCTGTTCCGCGACTCCTTCTGTTGGTGCTTCCTCTCGCTGGCTTCATGAGAGAGCATCTGCAATGCTGTGCAGCTTCCCCGCTAGGTAGACTTCGTTCAGTCCTTAGCCATACACCTTTGTCCACCATCTCGCGTGCTTGCAGGAGGGGTTTGTTTGGTGTCTCTAGAATTGCTCGAACTGGAGCGTGGTCAGTCACCACGGTCACAGACTGTCCATAGAGGTAGTGGTGGAATCGTGTCAGGGCCCATACAACGGGCAAAGTCTCGAGCTCTGTGACACTGTAGTTGCGTTCTGTAGAAGAGAGTGAACGGCTGGCGTACGCAACTGGGTGAAGCTTCCCGACAAGACTGCTCCGATGCCACTGATGCTGGCATCTGTCTCCACTGTGAAGTCACAATAAAATTCTGGGAATGCGAGAACAGGGGCTGTGGTCAGTTTCTCCTTCAATAGGGTCATAGCAGCTACACATGCTGGTGTCCACTGGTAGGTTTCATTCTTTCGAGTCAGTTCCCGGAGTGGCTCGGTGATTCAGGAGAACTTCTTGATGAACCGACTATAGTAGGACGCAAGTCCTATGAATCGGCGAACACTGCTGAGGTCTGTAGGTTGTGTGAACTGAGTAATTGCCGTGACCAAGGCGTCATTGGGCTTCAGAACCACATGTCCTAGGTACTCCACCTCCTTACGGATGAAACTGCATTTGAGTTTGAGTCCAGCCTCACTCACTTGCTGGATAACTGCTTTCAGGTGGTTGAGGAGCTCCTCGAGAGTTGGCGAGAACACTAGTACATCGTCAATGTATACCGCCACGAAGTCTAGTCCAGATGGGGGGTTCAGACCTGTCAGTAACCTCTGCATGAGGCGCTGGAACACAGCTGGAGCATTGGTCAAGCCGAAGGGCATGACCTTGAATTGATACAACCCCTGAGGTGTGACGAAAGCAGTCTTCTCTTGAGACGTGGGGCTCACACGAATCTGCAAATAGCCAGACGCGAGGTCAAGAGTTGAGAAGAACTGACAACGGCCCAGCTGGTCTAACAAATTATCTATACTTGGCAGGGGGTACATGTCAGCTTTCATGACCGCATTGAGGTGATAGTCCACGCAGAATCTGTGGGAACCGTCCTTCTTACAGACCATCAGGACCAGGGACTGGTCGATGGCTCGATCACTCCTGCGACTTGCATCCGGTCAAGTTGCTTGGCTACTTCCCCCTGACAGCAAATGGCATTCATTGAGGTGGGCATCGTCGTGGTTCGGCATCACCTGTATCAATGTGCATCTCCCCCAGGTCCGTCTCTCCTCGCTCGCTCTCCTCCAGTGCGAAGGCTGTGTGGTGTTCTTTGAGGAAGTCAAGCAGTTTCTGCTGCTGTGCTGAGGTGAGATTCTCGAAAGTCCCCATGCTTTCCAACAGCTTTTGCTGCCTCCGTTGGCTTGGTCTGGATCCAGCGGAGTGCAGACAGTCCTTCAGTCGGCTCTGGAGTCTTGCAATCATCTGCTGGGTTAGAGTCTACCAGGGTACGGGTGTAGCTTCTCCAAGAAGGCTTCCTTCTTCCGGCATCCAGTAGGGTTGTTGAGAACAGCAAGAACACCTTCCTCCACCGACAAACTGAGCAGAGAGGGCTCCACTTGCAGGCCACTCATGAGAGTTCCGCAGGCTCCAACAGGTAGGCTTTTGAGCCGTCCACCTCCTTGTCTCCAGCAAAACGAACTTCGACAACCGGGCTCTGGTGAGGGAGAAGTTGGACAGACTGCACGAGGTTTACCCGAACATTTGGAACTTTACCTTCCTGAGGTCGGCTCTGCCGGCGACATCTGGTTTGTAGTTGATGGTTGCGTTTCTTCCGGCACCTGGGTTTTGGGCTCGCTGTTGGGTGGCGTGCATTTCTTGCGACCACCTCACCAAGTCTTCACATCTGGGTGGTACTGGATGATACCCAATTGACGGCACACACCTTCAGACAGAAGTAGTTGGTTATGCGGTCCATCTTTATGTAAATTGGAGTGGTCATTTGTTTGTCGCCAAAGAAAAATTCTAGGTCCATCTGTCCGTCTAGACTGAACGGCTTCTGATCATATGTCCAGGGCACCTTGTCTGCTTTCATGAAATTCTTCTTCTTGAGCCGAGCAATGGTAGCCACTTTCTTGAAGAGTGATCCTTCAATGATCGTGATATCAGCTCCACTGTCAATGAGTCCATAGGCTGGTACTCCTTGGGTGAGGAGTTTGACACACTGAGTGACACTTCCTTGATCGGCAACATAAACCCTATTTGCATGAGGTGTTGATTCGTCTTCGGATGATGACAATAGTAGGAGGGATTCTGGAGTAGGGTTTGCGGTGGGAGGTGTTGTCTGAGATTTCCCTTGGCTGCAGACTTGCTTAGTGCGAGCTGGGGTAGCTGGTCGACCGGTACTTTCTTTCTTGGTCTTGGGACACTTCAGAGCAATGTGCCCAGGCTTTCCGCAATTGTAAAATTTTCTGTCCTTTGCTGAGGGTGGGGTATTCTTCCCTGATGTTTGAGGGGCAGATTGGCTTGCTGGAGTAGTGGACTGGGGCGTGGAAGTAATTGCTGCCACTAGGCGTCTTCGAGTAGCGCTGACGTTGCTTCAACACTGTCAATCTCAGTTCCTCGGCCTTTGCTGCCGTGGCAAGTTCCTTGTAGCCCTGTGAGCCAGACACTACTGGACTGAGCATGATCTCATAGCGTAAGCCTTCATGCAGCTGGCCATACAGCAGAGCGTCTGGAGTTGCTGCATTCAGGTCATCCCGGCCATAGGCAATCTGATATTTCTTCTCCAGACGTCTGATGAAGTCAGACACACTCTCTCCGCTCTTTTGCAAAGAATGTTGGAACTCTTGTGCAGCTACTGTCTTACTGCCAGGGTCAAGGCGTGTCCTGAGAGCTTCGACTGCAGTAGGATATGACTGCTGTTCAGATCTAGGGAGCAGGCGCCACTCTTGGAGTGCTCGGCCTTTAAGGTATCCTGGTAATTGCATGAGTTTGTCTTCTGTGGTCCACTTGCTGCTCTTTCCAGGCTAGGCAACCAGTCGTCGATTAGGATGGAGGGATCTTCTTCCAAAAAGAACTCGTTTGGAGGGGCTTTCCCTTGGCGCCGTCATTCGTCTGATGAATCCACTGCATGAGCTCCAGAGATGAATCGAGAAGTAGAGGAGGGGCTATCTCCTGGTCGAGGGTTGACTATAGGGTCCCGCGGGTGAGGAATTGCTGTGGGATCTATGTCTAACCTCATGGGGTCGCTAGCTGGAACTGGAGACGCTCCACTATTATCTCTGTGTGAGCTGTCAGTGGCCTCAGGGCGGCCTCCCCCAATAGTTCGCTCCGTGGAGGAAAGCCTCACCGACGGTTGCGAGGTTCCTTCGTCACGAGTAGCAGACACCTGTTCTCGAGAAGCCCATGCTCACAGCTCTCCGATCTGTTCCCTCAGTGCGGCTAACTCCTCCTCATGGGCTGTGATAACGGCATCCTGTTCTGCTAAGTGTTCACAGTTGGCCCACCAACTCCTCCTTGCCCTTTCCTTCTCCACCTCTAGCTGTTGCTTGAGCTCCGCATCTTCCTTCTGGTGCATTCTAGTGAGTTCCTGGAGGCGAGTACCTCCTGGAGGCCTGATATTGTTTGTGCTTGCTCTTGGTCTTTAGCCGAGCAGGTGATTGCATCAGCCGTGGCTAAAGACCAAGAGCAAGCACAAACACCGTGACCACCACAATGTAATGGTGGTGGTGCAAGAGCTGACGAAGACTTCCAATGAGCTCTGTATCCTCGGCCAATCGCGTACGTTGGGGAGGTGTGTCCCGGTATCCCGGATCACAACATAGGAACTCACCCTCAGATTCCTCTAGAGTGACAATTTGTTCAGTCTTCCACGACTCTTGCACCATCACCATTACATTGTGGTGGTCACGGCCCCTTTGGACAATTCCCTCCACGCACTGCCTCAATTGGTCTGGAGAACCGCTGGTAGGCAGCCCTAGCACTTTCGCCAGTGTACGTAATCCCAATACGTTTATTTGCTAGTTGCTTCCACATCCTTTGGGAAAGTGTGCGGTACAATAGGAGGGTAAAGCCACTGCTCCCGCGTCGACCACGTGGGGATCGTCGGCCATCTTGAAGTTTTCTGCTTCTTGAAACTCGGTCCTCTCAACAGGAGAATACAACTGGCTGCACTAGATATGCTGGCAAGGTATTGATTCACAGGCTCTCTAGTCACACGGAGACTGAGCCGTTTCCCCTGCCTAAGCTGGCTACCTACACTGAAATTCCTCATGACTGCAGGAGGCAAGTCAGTCTCGGTGGGAACCTCCACTGTAAACTAGACCTCGTTCTTTGTACAGCTGTAAAAACTCAATTTTGATTTTTTCGTATGTAGTCTAGCTCTGTGTATTACATTACATCATCTACCATACACAACACGCATGCGTAATAAGCTTAGTTCTTTGACTCCTTTACATCATTTTATAGAACACCGAGGAGTTTATCATCTTTGTCTGTGCTGTCGTCATCTATAGCATCTTTGGCTATTACTGGCGATCTTCTTGAACACTTTGGTCTGTCAAGCAGTTACCCATCAGAGTTACATATCAGCTGCCTCTATGGTGAGTTAATGCTTTGGTGTGTATTTATAGCAAGGACAAGTGTAAAAATCATTTATTAAAAATGAAGGGGGATATAGGGATGGCTGGAAGCACCAAAAACAAAGAAACAAGGGAACATACGCAAAGCTACATGACACCATCCCTATATCTTTGTTTGATGTTATTTGCTTATGAATCAATAGAACAAAGATATAGGGATGGTGTCGAATGTTAAATGAGTGGCATAGCAAGATCAATGAATGTATTATAAATAGGATAAAGAAGGAAGAAACCCATACATAGTAAACTTCAGGTACTGCTCATTTGCAATTTTTAGAACAATTTCACCAGAGATATGTTCTAGTCCCCGCAGACAAGGCGAGTAATAATTGGGCGAGCAGAGCAAGCCTCCCTAGCGGGTGGAATTTTCTATTATAGATATATATTTATTGGCGAGCGGAAGCAAGCCCACCTAGTCGTTCATTCGAACGGATTTTTCTATATAATTATATATATATAAATATATATATTATGACACAGGACGGTACTGCGGCACTGCACATACCGAAAGGTTTTACGTGATTCCAAATACACGTAACGGAATGAAATTTCGCAATCGTCTGTATTTATTATAGGCTTACACATGCCGCGTCCAGCCCCATTGATCAATGCCTTGGCCCACTGCCATGCCAACTGCCTGATGGACCACGACAGACGAGCTGAAAGCATAAGGTAAGTACCGCACGGCGGCACCATGGGTGCTGTGGCTCGCGGAGCAGGGCCACCGGGTGTCCTCCCTAGAAGACGAGTGACGGACATCACTACCTGGATCACCCTCTACATGGCGGTGTTGTCCAAGAAGAAAGCTTAGTGTCGAACATGGTGGTGCACCTCCACACTGTGCTCCGCCTACATCAGAGAGCATCTTACCAATTGGCATTGTTAGAATACGACGTGCAGTTTCGCATGGAGTTAGCTGCATCAACCGATCGGTCCTGGTCGTCTGGCGATCCCTGGCAATACATCTCGTGCCTACCATCGGAGCGGTCCACAAGTGACCCCTTCGAAGTGTCAGAACTGGATCAGGAGCCCCAGTACAAGGGAAAGCGTCCACCGGAGCAGGACGGAGAAAAAGGGGGTTCCCAAGGGAAGCCGCCAGCCAAGAAAGTATAAAGGGGTGTGCCGGTTTCACAACACAGCCCCTAATGGTTGCCCATATGGAAAGGACTGCATCTTTCTGCACCTATGCACTAGCTGCGGGGCAATGGATGAACACGGGCAATCAGCCTGCCCCTATCGGCCTGACAGCCCCGCTGGCCCATCCAGATATTCGTACGATAACCCTGCAGCCCCTCCCCAGAGGAGGTAGTTAGTTGACAGGACTATGACAGTGTTGGACTCATAAGCTCACTTACTCCCACATGTATCTGCTATGTTAAGCTCTGTTGACGTAACGGCTGTTACAAAGCATGGTTGTTCCTGGAAGAAAATGGGGGCAGGGCCAGTTAGCTCGGCGGGAGTGGCTGGTAGGGTGGGGCAAGGGGATTGCAAAGTTGAAGTCCTCCTTGGGGATGCCCTGCGAGACTTAGGTGACTCTCAGATGGAGACCTCCCTCCTCCGCTCGTGCCTGTCATTTTGTGCCCTGATGCTATTTCCACTATTCGGTCGATAGGTCGTGCCCTAGGTCAACGACTGAACTCCACCAACACTGCGGACACGACGAAACACCTTTTTGGGCGGGGGCAACGGCAATAGTTTCGGGGTGCCCAATATTGTTATCCCCCCCCCCCCCCCCCCCCCCCCCAATCTCGCTTGGTAGAATCATTGGTCCGGTTAACCAGGAGGGGGTACCTGCCGGCACCCAAGTCAGTCCCTTAGGCGTAATCCCAAAAATCCAGCCAGCCTGGCAAGTGGCGACTGATTGTAGATTTATCTAGTCCAGATGGAGGCAGTGTAAACGACGGAATGGACCAGGATCTGTGCTTCCTGAACTACTTGCGGTTGGACGACGTGATGGAGTGCATATCACGGAGTGGCAGAGGCACCCTCCTTGCAAAGATTCAGGAACAAACTCCACTGGATCAGGTTGTCCGAATGAACGTGTTCAGATCTCTAATGGTGGTACTCCTTCATGGAAGGCTGGAACGGCATCTCAATGATGCCAGGGTCCTGCCACTGGAGTCAGATGTGTCAGGGCGGTGGGGCTGCGCGGCCCGCTGGGGGAGTAAATGGTTCCAGTAGAAATGGGAGGTGAGATATAACACCAACGGAGCTATTGCCAATCCTGTTCACGTTCGTGGTATGGGGAAAGAGGTGGCAAGGACGGCGAATCGTCTGCCGCTGTGACAACATGGCGGTGGTCTCAGTGGCTGGGCGAAGGACCAAATGGTAATGCACCTGCTGCGGTGTGTTTTTTGGTGGGGGAAAAGTTCTGCGTGAACATTCATGCGGAGCACGTACCGGGGGTCGAGAACGTGTCGGCAGACGCCCTTTCACGCGACAATGTTGTAACCTTTATGCAGGTAGTCCCCGAGGCAGAGAGGTATCCAAGGAGGCTCTCATGGACCTTACAGTCAGGGAGCAACCAGATTGGACATCGCCGCACTGGGTCACTGGGTTCATAACGCCTGTTGCAAGCAGGTTTAGCCCAATCGACACAGCGGGCGTACGCATCTGGTAAAAGGAGATACTTGCCCTTCTGCCATATCCCCTCTGCCAGCCACGGAGCAAAAACTGGTAAAGTTTATTACCCATCTAGCAAACCAGGGGCTCAGGCACCAGACCCTGAAGTCCTACCTGCGGAGGTGGTGACTTTAGGGTGGAGAGCGTGCCGTTGTTAGAGTTAGAACTGCAGGGGGCAAGACGGGAGCAAGCTGGTGCAACAAAGCGGACTAGTCTCCCAATCACACCACGTGTATCCTATCACTTGTGGGAGGTGTGGAAGAAAGAAGCGGCGAACCACAACGCAGTGATGATGTGGGCCGTGTGTTGTGTAGGGTTCTTTGGGTTTCTCAGGTCAGGGGAGATGGTCGTCTCGGACTCAGGGTCGATTGACCAAAACCAACACCTGTCCCTCAAGGATGTGACAACTGCATCTATGTGCAATCGAAGACTGACTCTTTCAGATCATGAGTCACGGTCTACCTCCACAAGACTGGTCAGCGGCAATGCCCAGTGGCTGCGCTCATATCCTACTTGGTGGTGCGTGGCAAGGAAGATGGTCCCCTATTCCGCCTGAGAGGGGGGAACCGCTGACACAACCCCGTCTAGTATCCATCTTACGGGAGGCACTGTCTCACAGCTGTCAGAGATCAGCACTTCTCTGGCCGGAGCTCAGGTCTGAACAGCTCCTAGACCGGCCTTCCTGCCAGTTGTGCATATGTGTCGTCTCATATTGAAAAAAGTTCTAAGCAAGAATGGGGTGGTGTTTAGGGGTAGATTTGGGCTTGGGAAGGGGGACGTCGTTGTCTTGGGTGTAGGGCGTGGCTAGCAGGTACCACACCTCGCCCCCCCCCTTGATGGAGGATCGGTGCAGTGATCGGTGCAGTGGCCACCGAGTAAGGTGTGTGTCACAAGGGGGAATCTCCTGGTAGTTGGTGAAGGCGTGGTCAGGGGCCAAAACCAACCCATGTCCCAATCGCAATGCTGTCTGGCATGCAGTACGTTAGAGACTATAGCAATGAAGCACGGTTAATTGCTGAAACATTTTACCTGTAGGTACGTAGCCAGTAATAGCACCGAGATGCGCTTACTTGGATGCACCAGAGGTTGCAATGGGGGGAGTGTATAAACTCTCGCATGTTATTATGATGGTACACACCAAACAAAGGTGCAAAGAGAAAAGAAGAAAATAATAGTGGCTAGCACTTAAACACAAGACCAGTATGGTTCAAAACATGAATTAAAGCCATGACATGAACGAATAATTCTTATAGAACAGGCAGTGTTGTACTCTGTGTCTTTAAAATATGTAACATGTTTGGCACCATACAGACAGTTGTAACCAGTAAAAGATGGAACAAAAAAGTGAAGACTCAATAAAAATAGACCTTATGAGGCAGGGTGGTGATAAAATAAATAACCCCTCTTTTGAGAATGCGATGAGATATATCTATCTGAGGTTGTTTTGAAAAACAAAACAACGGAGAATAATGGTATGGTTCATACTTGGATGTTGGAATTATAATAAAAGATGTACATTTCACCACCACCGTCTATGATAAGAGAGTGACGTCATTTGTAAATTATGGCTGGCCCTACATTCCTTTAGAGGAAGGATCTCACTGCGCCTTGCTTTCTGTTGGCCTGCTTTATATATTGCTTGCTCTCGGTCTCTCTCTGTCGTTCCGTTTCCGTGCTGTCGTCAATATTGAGGTGTGTTTTCGTTGATTTTACTACTCCGTGGGCAGAGAAAGGCTTGGGTGAGTGGGGAGAGTTCACCGGTGATAAAAGACTATTTAACCCACCATCCCTGGTTCTCAAGGCCGGGGCACCCTTTTATGCCTAAGTCTTGCTAGCTGACCTCTCTAATGGTACTGCCCTACACTATTGTTTTACCTCATTAATGATGTAACCCTTTATACTTTTGTATGGTTTATTTTGTATATTGCAGATTATTTTCAAACCTTTTGATAACTTTTATACTGCCTGTTTCCGTACTGTCTCTGCCTGTTGTAGTCATTTCACTTTCATCGTGCATCAGCTCACGTGTTTTTGCAAGTCCCAAGTATGCCCTTATGGTTAGCCTTTAAGGGTCGGATTGCAAAGTTGAAGTCCTCCTTGGATGCTCTGCGAGACTTACGTGACTCTCAGATGGAGACCTCCCTCCTCGCTCGTGCCTGTCATTTTGTGCCCTGATGCTATTTCCACTATTCGGTCGATAGGTCGTGCCCTAGGTCAACGACTGAACTCCACCAACACTGCGGACACGACGAAACACCTTTTGGGTCGTGTTGCTATAGCCTGTGGCTAGGAAACGCCGGTCTGTGGATGCACCGATCCTACTCTCCCTCCTTTCATTGATGGATTAGTCTGACTTTCTTTTGCTTTGTTTCTTTTTGTGTTGCTCTGATGTTTTTTTGTGTTTTTTTCTTGTTTGTTAACCCTCGGCGCGGTTACAGTACTTGCATGGTCTGTCTGTCTATCCGTCTGTTACCACGTTTTCTGCCACCACGCGCAACAAACAGGTAGAATAGCGACACCAACGGGTTCGGTGCTACACTGGCTTAATTATAAAAATGGTGATTTTCGTGAAAGTGCCGCGTTCAGAAGTTATAGCGTGAAAACCAAGTGACCAAGCCAATATGCTAATTAGCAGAGGCTTACCTCGACCGGGTTCGCTTGTTCTGTGGATGTTGGAGGCACAAGAAGTCGCAACAAACAACGTGTATCGACTCCCGCATGCTATCTACTACTGTAGCTAGCCCATGTCAGACTTTCCGTTAGCTACTAGCGGGAGACCACAAGTAAAACGCAGAATTATAGCCCAACCCATCAATTGGCGAACTGCGCATGCGCAGTTCGCCGAGGTTTGCAATTTAGTGCTTTTCATTTTTGAAAGTAGTAAAATATTGCCCGAACGGGGAGCAGGTGAGCAGAACAGTACTTACCTTACGCTTTCAACTCGTCTGTCGTGGTCCACCAGGCAGCTGGCATGGCAGTAGGCTAGACAGCGATCGATCGGGCTCACTAGCCAACCACACAGCGTGTGTTAGCGTAGCTATAATACAGATGATTGCGAAATTTCATTCCGTTTCGCGTAGGCTCTCATATTTGCTTTATTAACCCTCGGTGCGCATGCGCAGCGAGTGTTACAGTAGTTAACCCTCGGCGCGCATGCGCAGCGAGGGTTACTGTAGTTGGGTTTGTGTGTCTGTGTGTCTGTGTGTCTGTTACTCTCAATCTCACTTCTCGGGTGTTTGTTCGTCTCACAAAGGATACGACCTACTTAACAGGCAATGAAGGTCAGATATTTCGAACAGTTTTGTCTGAAACTGCTCCGTTGCAAAGCTAGAGCGCGAAAAAGCCAATATGCAAATACACAACGGCTTACCACAGTCGGATCGATCCGCGTGCTCTGCGTACTTCGGAGGCACCAGAAGATGCAACGCAGGGCGTGAATCGCCTCTCGCATGCTGTCTAGCAGTGTAGTTAGCCCGCGTCAGACTCTGCGCGAGCTGGGAAGAGACCACGAGTGACAGCTAAAACTAAACCCAGCCTATCAATTAGTGGTACGGCGCATGCGTTTACTTACGCGTGCGCGTCATGTCACAATGCGCCGAGGGTTTGCACTTCAGTGCTTTTCATTGTGTCTGTCTGTGTGTGTGTCTGTTACTCTCAATCTCACTTCTCGAATGTCCGTTCATCTCACAAACGATACGACCTACTTAACGGGCGATGAAGGTCAGAACTTTCGAGCGCTTTTTTTCCTGAAAATGCTCCGTTGAAAGGCCAGCATTGTACAGCTAATGCGTAGTCGGCCGTTTTATCGCTGCGGAAAATGCGCATGCGGTTATATGCTAATTCGACCGGGCCCGCTTGCTCTGTATATCTTGAAGGCACAAGAAGTCACAACGAAGGGCATGTATCGACTCCCGCATGCTATCTACTACTGTAGCTAGCCTGTCCGCGAGCTATACTAGCGGGAGACCACCACGAAATAGCCCAGCCCATCAATTAGCAGTACCGCGCATGCGCAGTTCGCCGAGGGTTTGCAGTGTAGGGCTTTTCTATCTGGCCTTCTGTGTTTCAATGCTCTCACCAGACGTTTTATAGATGGGAAGGCAAGGCCGCAACCACAAACTGCTCGCCACCTGAACTATCATGCTACATTGCGAACATACCTTGCTCAGCATGTTTATCATTTGGAAACAAAGAACAGAGATCAAAACTAACAGAAGCCAGTGGATCGTACAACCAACATGGTGTTGCACATGCTCCGACGAATAATTGACATGACGCGTGCATGCTATATAGCCTGCCGGAGAGGGCGCGTGCGTGATCGACCGCACATTGGCTTTTTCGCTTGTTTTCACGCCATATCTCTGGAACACAGTTGTTTCAGTAAAATCACCACGTTAATATCCATCTTCTTGTTGTTCAAAACCCGTTGGTGCCACTCATTGGACGCCTCGTAGCCTGTAGTGCAAGAACTCGCGTGGACAGACAGACAGACCAAGTACCGTAACCCTCACTGCGCATGCGCGCCGATGGCTAATGAACGTATTTGTATGTAATAACTGACTTCACCGTATAATGCAAACCTCCCTTTAGCGAACCTCTCAGCTACAAAACAAAGTAACCATAGTGCTGTCCCAACTACAATTATAATGCTTCTAGTTACTTATGGGGGGCATGGCTCCCCATAAGTAACATCACACGTGCAATCGCACATGCATGCTATACTTTTACACCATACTTTTACTGAACCATTAGAGTGTCAGTAGACGCTATATAGAGATAGCACGGGTCAAATCTCATGTGATCCGCGTGCAAAACTGGCGAGAATGACTCACTGTGCCTTCAAAATATGCTAGCATAAGTCTAAGAGCCTGTATCTAGCTATACATGTACCTCACCGTAATCGATCGTGTTGCTTTGCACTGTCAACAGAAAGCAGAGTAGTTTAGAGGACTTCTTTAGTGTTGAAAATATCTGTGTCTGCTATGTGTGTTTTTCACGATATATTTGTCAATGAAAAAAATTGCAGTCCCAATATTTAACCCTCTGCGCGCATGCACAGTGGGGGTTACTGTAGTTGTCATGTGTGTTTGTCTACACCCAAACTCCCTTCACGAGCCATGAATCGCTCCACAAACAATACCACATATTCAGCGTCTGGTATACGTCAAGAGATATGTGGGGTTTTCTCTGAAACTGCTGCGTTCGGGAGTTACGGTGTGAAAACCAAGTGAACGAGCCAATATGCAAATTAGCATAGGCTTACCTCGAGATGCTCGCTCTCTATAAAGCACCGAGATGCGCTTGCTCTGCGTAACTTGGAGGGCTTGTATTGACTCTCGCATGTTATCTAGCTAGCCAGTTCAGCGACCAGGTAGGAGACCGGCCACAAGTAGGTAAAATGGCCCAGCCCATCAAAATAACAGTACAACACATGCGCGTATTTCCGCACGCGCGCGTTTTTTACCTGACATAATCTATTCACATATGCGCAAGATATTCTAATCCCATACCAAGCCTATTGTTGAGCTAAAACACGAAAGATGTGCCTCACTTGGTAGTATGCTTACCTCGTCTGTAGCCTTTCACAGAAGACTGTGTATATAGGTGGTCAACTTTGCTTTGACATGAAACCCTTCTCTAGCGCACTTTAAGTGCCTTTAATTTCATGATTGGGAGGTCCCACTGTATTGCACTGACCATAACACTGAGACGCTAGTAGCGCCGTTGGATATGCCAATGACAACATGGTTGGAAAAACACTCGAGGGTATACTGGCAGTTGCCAAGCATTTTCAGTGAGAATTTTAGACCAAATATTCATTAACCCTTGGCGTGAGTGCGCAGCGAGGGTTACGGTACTTGGTTTATAAGTGTGTCTGTCTTGCCGTCTGTCCGTCTGTGTGTCTGTCTGTTACCATGTTTTCTGTGACTACGCACAACGAGACAATAAAACAGCGATACCAAAGGGTTCATCGCTACACTGGCTTCATTTGAATTCATATAACTACTGCGTTCAAAAGGTTATGGCATGAAAAGCAAGTGAACAAGTCAATATGCAAATTAGCAGAGGCTTACTTCGACAGCGTCTTCTCGCTCTGTGTATCTTGAAGGCGGAAGAAGTCACAACGAAGGGCATGTATTGACTCCCTCATGCTATGTACTACTGTAGCTAGCCCGTGCCAGACTCTCCGCGAGCTACTAGCGGGTTACCACGAGAAAAGGCATAAAAAGACCAGCCTATCAATTAGCGGTACCGCACATGCGCAGTTCTCCGAGGGTTTGCACTTGTAGTGCTTTTCATTTTTCACTGTGTTGCTTTGTTTTATAGGCCAGCCCATGATACAATAGTACAGTTACATGCACATGGCTTCTTTTCGTGTAGATAGTCTAAGGACTTATTTAGTATAAATTGTGTTACAGGTGAGAGATCTAAAGTTAGAGCTTTTCTCATGGATAAAGGGGTTGTCAACAGCACAGATGCTCAAGGAAAAACTCCATTGATGTATGCCGTTATTGGAAAACAGCCTAAAGTATGTCTTATTTCTGCATTGTCTCATAGAATGTGAAATAAGAAATGGTCCTTTAACGTAATTATTACTCACTATTATTATAGCAGAACCATAAAAGTGCCAACTTTTGACAGATAGGTATGGTAAAAAGTTTCTAAGAATGGTGGCGATAATTATATGACAAGTAAATTAAAAATTCTGCGAATTAAAAAAGTGTGGAATATAGGGATGCCATAAAAAGCAAGGAGACAAGACAGGGATGACCTAGTGCATGTGATGCAGTAGTACAATGGGATGATTGTTACATCTTCTAACTGACATTTCTTGCTCATGTAAATTTTAATCCACACAAGGCCTATATTGTCGCCACTCTTACTCATGACATGAGTTTTGAATAGTGTAGTGTGAAAACTGGCAAACGAATTCTGTAGGGAAAGCAGCATTGTAAAACCGGTTAGTTGGGCGAACACAGTCACGATTCAAAACTGAGGACCTGTCAGAGAGGGCATTTGCTACCAGTCTTACGTGCATAGGAAATGAGTCATAGCTGCACATCATACGATAGAGATCACTCGTGCTTTGCGACAATATAGGGCTTGTGTGGATTAAAATTTACATCAGCAAGAAATGTCAGTTAGAAGATGTAACAATCATCCCATTGTATTACTGCATCACATGCACTAGGTCATCCCTGTCTTGTCTCCTTGCTTTTTATGGCATCCCTATATTCCACACTTTTTTATTCCACACTTTATTTACTTGTCTCCTTTCCTTTTTTTATGGCATGCATGCATTGGGGCATAATGTCCATAATAAAAAAAATAACATGTATTTATTGCCTCAGACTCTTAGTCGTCATGTACATTTTAATTTCACTTCCAAAGTAGATAAGTGTACAAAGTTAAGCACTTAATCGCCTGAGGCTGTTTGGGGTTGTTTACAAACTTGTAATTCATGTTTTAATCAACTCTTATCATAGTAAATCAGTGTAGCTACCATGTTTCATTGTTAGAGGACCCACAATAAGCAAGTTACAGGCACAAACATCATTTACAAGTATTTATTGCCTGAGGCTATTTGTTGTTGTTTACAAACTTGTAATTTCTATTTCGATGAACTCTCACTGCATGGTACATCAGTGTACCAAGTTTCGTTGTTAGAGGACCCACAATAAGCAAGTTATAGACACAAACATCAGTTACAAGTATTCATTGCCTGAGGCTGTTTGTTGTTGTTTACTAACTTGTAATTTCTGTTTCAATGAATTCTCATCGTGGTACATCAGCGTACCAAGTTTCATTGTTAGAGGACCCACCATAAGCAAGTTATAGGCACAAACACATTTTACAAGTTTTCATTGCCTGAGGCTGTTTGTTGTTGTTTACAAACTTGTAATGTTTACAGTTTGATACTAATGATGGGTTGTATATGTGTACAAAGTTTTATCACTCTGGGTATTAGCTTTACCCAGTTAGCACACTTTATTTGTCTCTATAATAATGTATTGCCTGGGGCTATTTGTTGTTGTTTACATGTAAACAAAATGTTTACCAAGAAATAAAAATGCTCTTGCACGACCTGTCATGGATTCCAATCTTTGTGCAAAGTTTGATCTCCATATCTTACCTGGTTTTTGAGATACGCTTGTTGAAACTGAACAACAAGAAGAAGAAGAAGAAGAAGAAAATTGAAACGAATAAATCAAGTACCAATTATGCAATTTAAGCTATTTCTTGAATAAGTGCTCTTTGTGACGATACAAATTAGTCTGATGTGTCAAAAGTTGGATCTGATTGAAATAGAAAGTGAAACATGCAAATCCCAATGTATGGGCATAATGCAGGACAACCTGTGTCATCCCTATATACTAAGTACTACCGTACTTAGTGATAATAATAATAATAATACTCAGGTGGCTGCCATAGCACTAGGGCCATAGACCACGCACCCAGAGCAATGGGCGGAACCGTTAACACACGAACATACACCATATGAACATGAGGTGTCTGTCTCACCTCCCAGACACCTCAACTCACCCCTTCCACCAGCGACACCCTGCAGCTCCCCAGACGCAATCTGAGACTGGGTTTGTTGTACGTGGGGACTATCGCCGTATAACCTAACCTTTCTTAGCTCCCAAACATCCAAAATAAAATCTTTAACAAGGCCAAGCAAAGAACCAAAATTATCCTCCCACAGTTCACTACCCAATATAAAGGATGCTTTCCTGAAACTATCAAGCGACTGGAAATGCTCAAACCCATCATCCCCAAGCTTCCCCTGCAGGGCAACTAAGAAATTGCTCCTAAGACTACTATATGCTGGACACTCCCACAACACATGACTCACACTTTCACACTCATCATCACACAACAGGCACTCTTTCATCCCCTCCCTCCCCCTATGCCTGTCCAGTTCCTCATTTAGCCCATGCGTGCCTGACCTGAACTTAAACATTAATCTAGACCCGCAGCATCACTTTTCCCATGCAAGTACTTTTTGAACTCTACCACCTTGTTAAATGTCTTATACAATAACAGCTTTACTTTGCTATTTAGCCCCTCTTCAAACTTTCTAATCTCCCTCTCATTAATACTGTCCCCTATTATAGACAACAAGCCCTTCAAGGAGCAATCCCCATTTTGAATATCATGCAACCACTCTGCCTTGTCAAGACCTAATGACGAAAAGAGATCATCAATGACCTTACTCCAACCCTTCCTCTGCCTGCCTCTCCGTGGCTTAAAATTCCATTCCTGATTAAAAAGCTTCTTCGGATACCTATTGCCTGGCAATGCCGCTAACTTATACCACCACTTCAACTTATTCTTATCCCTACGCCCTTGTAACGTATCAAGCCCCATATCCCCCCTAACGGCTTCATTACATGTCTTAGACGAACACCCAAGAATGCACTTAGCTCCTCCCAGCATAACGGACTCCAATGCAGCTGCCTGAGTCTTATTGGCTTCCCACACCTCACCCCCATACTCTAAAGTTGGCCTAACCACCGCCAGCAACAACAACCTGCGAGCACTCAAATTAATATCCCTATTACTAATTACACTATGCAACTGATTAACCTTCCTTCTACCGTACTTAGTGATAGTAAATCCTAAATCCCGAAGTGTGCTTGCAAGCCAACCTTTTCTGTTAGTTATTGCACGTGTGTTGCATGTCATTATCACTGGTACAAACATTCGAGAAATCACCTCTGGTGCGTCTAGAATAACTATATTTTCGTTATAATACTCCATTTACGCGGATTGCCGTGTCATCAACAGTCACAACAGACTCTCTACAGTCGGTGCATTTCGCCTTGATCCTACTGCCGTTATTTTTAAATCTAAGAGCAATGAGATGACACCTTGTAGAGTTCACGGAAAAGCACACTACACCAAGTAATATAGCTGGAATTGAAAGTGAGTAGCTAGTTCTTGTTATCACTCTAAGTATGGTAGTACTTAGTACCTGGAGATGACACAGGTTTGTCCAGCATCATGCTCATACGTTTGAGACATTTGAGTGTAACTTTCAGTCATTCAATCAGATCCCACTTCTGAACACATCCATATTTTCAAACTAAGCATGTAATAATAATTACATAATCAGTCATTGAAGAAAGTTAGTTTCAAAATTGTTGTTGTTCAGTTTAGAAAAGCGAGGTAAGATACAGAGATGAAACTTAGCAAACTCATGACAGGTCGTGCAAAAACATAAAATGATGTTTACATGGAATAAAAAACCAAAAAGTCCCAGGCAATATAGACCAACTAAGTGATGTCAATACAAGAACTTATATTTAAACTATCATTGGTGAGCATAATAACAAGCAGTAAAAACCTCTAAAATAATAGTGTTTGTGTCTGTAACTTGCCTATGCTAGGTCCTTAAACAATGAAACTTGGTGCACTGATGTACCATGATAAGTGTTCATCAAAACAGTTTTGTTAACAACAATAAACTGCCTCGGACAATAAAGGCATGATTCTTCCTATATATAACTTGCTTATGCTGGGTCCCATAACAATGAAACATTGTGGACATCAGCAAAACAGAAATTACAACCCTTACGGAAAAATGCCTAAGATTCTCAGCAGAAATCTTATAAGAAATGAGAGCATATACTCTATGATACGTCTTATAAGAAAATTGGGACATTCTTATAAGAAATTCTAGTGATTCCTGTAAGATTTGTAGAAGCAAAATTTTTCTTATTTATGAAAATAGTATAATGTTCAGCTATGGATGCAGGCTTGTTCAGGCTTGTTCAGGCTTGTTCAGGCTTGTTCAGCATTGTTCTTCCACGTCAAGTACATCTCACCTGTATGGTGAAACAAGAGCCAGATGGTCATGAGAAGTGCGTGGAGTAGCAAATAAAGTTTTAAAACAACAACAATCAGGCAATTAAATTATGTTTGTGCCTATAAACTGGTTCCTATAACTATAAAACTTAGTACAATGGTGTAATATTGTAAATGGTGTTTGTTCCTTAAACAAGCGTCGTATCTCAAAACCAGGAAAGAGAAGTAAATTAAAAATTCTTCGATTTAACAAAGAGGTATATAGGGATTGTATAATAGGGATGGGATGCATGAAACATAGTTAACAAACTTGAGCATGTTGACATCCCTGATCCCATCACGCAATCCCAAGGTCTCTTCATGTTTATGTAACTTTTTGTATATAAACCCCTACAATTATACATTTACCTTCGTTCAGTGTTGTGTGATGCTTCTTCGTTCTGGGGCTGAAGTGGACTTAAAGGACCAATCTGGGATGACTGCAATTTTGCTTGCAGCTAAATATGAATATGAAGATGTAATAAAGGTACTTTTGAAGTAAGTATTATGCCATAAAGCATTAATTTGGAATACTTATGAATCATGCCTCTTAGCACCAGGCTCTAGTGAGTTCTGAAATCTGATTGGTCCATCAGAGGAATACTTAGTATTCCTCAGACTAGACAGAGGACTTCCGCATATTGAAATCCTCCCCGTTCCATTATTATAATGTGCAGAAACGTGGCTCCAATACAGAAATTCAAAAGGACAGCTTTTCTGGCTGCTAGCATCATGGTAGACAGCATGGTATATATAAGCATCAATCCATTTTCTCTGTGCTTCCAAGGTAATGAACAGCATCTTCCCTTTCACGGGCCCTATGTGGAGTTGGGTCCCAGCCATTCCCAGGTTTAGATTTTTTCTGTTGTATTGGCATGGCAGGCCTCCAGGTCTTTTGTTGAGGCCTGGCCACCAAACGTAGCTCCTTGCTAATCGTTACATGGCTACCGCAAATGCATGGATTATCTTCGTTGACCTGACCTTTGAGTGCAGCTAACTCTTTATGGTCCATAACACTAGTAGGCGAAAATCCGTTAGGGCCCATAACCCCATTATGGCGACGTACAGTTACAGCTGTAACACCTGTTCTGTCAGACCATGGAGCGCTACTCAGTCCTTGCTCACGACCGTTTGAGAGTAAGTCATTGACAACACATCGACCACCACAACATATACACACTCCGATCTAACCACTTGGGTCCGCTACTGGGTATACCGTCATCTACTCATCATAATGCAAAAAAAGTCTAGTCATTCATGTGTGGGGTGCTGCTGTGGCGTGTCTACATCATTGCTGGGATCTCAGTCTCTGTCCCATTGGGTGCTGTTGTCAGTTGTATGGCAGGGAATTGTAGTTGTGGCACCACAAAGACATGCTATGTCCTCCTTTCTAGTCTGAGGCGAGACTCTCGGTCCTTCGGTTTTCTTTGGCATAGTCACCCAGCCCCTTTTCCCGTCTCTGCTGGCCCTGAACCTGTCGACTAAGCTAGTTCTCTGTCCATTGGCTTCCCCATGGAGAGAATGAGCCTGAGTGTCAGAACTGGATACTGCCTGAGGCTGCAACTATGGACCATCGTTTTTCTGGTATGGTGTGACATCAGCTCCTGGGTCTTGGTTTCTGGTGCTGGGTCAGTGTCTTGCTGTGTTGCTGCTCCCTCGCCAGCCCCAGTGGAGTGTGTCACTCTAGAGGTCTCTGAGGGACTAGTTTCCTCGTCTACAGGTATATTGTTAGCTGCATTCCACTTACATCGCCTCCCTCTCTTGTCAGGCGGCCAAAACTATCACCCAGCTCTTCAGCAGTTTCTCGGGTAGTACCAACATCGGCTATTCTTTTGGATGGTCCACGCGAATAATGGCAGCAGTGTTCGTTCCCGTTTCTTGCACTTGATACGGCCCGAAAGGGTCAGCCCAACATAGGACTTCCGCATATTGAAATCCTCCCCGTTCCATTATTCTAGCTTCTGCTGTTTTATCTCCTGGTTTGTAGAGGAAAACTCGCTTGCCTTCCCTGAATGGAAGTGTAGATGTGTCACGACAGTCATATTGGTATTTCTGTTTCCTCTGCACTTGCTTTACTGCCTTTTGAGCCGGCTCCCATGCGGTGGACAACTTCGCATGGAATTTGTACCCATACTCCTTGAAGTTAACTGTAATGCGTGTCTTCTTTGGACTCAGGACTTCCACCGTAGAGAAGGCAATGTACCGAAACCTACTAACTTGCCCAATATACGAGAAGTACGTATGGCAACTGCTCATCCCATTTTTGAAGTGAGTGTGCAGTAATACCGCTTGACGAAACCGTCAGTCTGAGGATGGTATGCTGTAGTGTTAGTTGGTGGTAGCCAAGGAGGACTGAGGACTTTTACCTCCTGAATCAGCCCTGAAAGAAACGACTTGCCTCGGTCAGAGAGAACCTCACTTGGTACTCCGTGGCGGCTGATGACTTCTTCGATGACGAGCTGGTCTGATCAGACATCGCCAACACTTCCGGCCACTTGGTTTGAACACTGCTACGTACCGATTTCCTAGTCCAGTCTTTATTAATTGTAGTATGTCAACCCTGGCTTTGTCGAGAGGAGTCAGTGGGGTTATAATCTTCTAACCAACATTGTACGTGCCACACATGAGACAAGCTTAATTCGCTCAAGTGGTTTGCGTCATGCACATTCTCTCCCACCGATTGTGCTTCTGGAGCTCGCTATAGCGGCGCTGTTGATCTTCTGGTGGCATAACTCCAGTGGACAGGTACTCAATGAAAGGTTGCAACATCTCATCAGCTTGTTGGAGAGTAGCCAGATCCTTGATTGTCTTCTCATCTTCATTGTGTTCTGCGTCTGTGATTACGGCCACCACTTTGGGCGTGGGATAACTGTCTGTAGAAGTTAGGAGTGAAGACTGGGAAAGTATGTCAGCATTAGAGTTAATCTTGCCAGATCGATTGACAGTGACAAAGTCGAGCTCTTGAAGAGCCATCACCCACTGGCCAACTTTCCCGAGGGCTGCAGTTTTGAGCAGGTGGTCTAATAACTAGCATCCCGACGTGTGGACAGGAAGAGTAGAGCTTCTTACTAGGCTGCATCGAGAGTGCTGGGTGCAGCTGGACAAAAAGTGAGCTATATAGAAGGGCAGCTAACCACTTGCGTGGGGCCTCAAAACCGTGCAGCTGAACTAAACTAAAGTGCTTATTGCAGCCGTCTATCTCTCGATTGGTAAGCTGAGCTCTCTCCGTATTTACGAGAGGACATTTGAAAGCGTTTGCAGAATCTCATTAGGCAAAGCCTTATCCCAGGAGGTCATCATACAAACACGTTACACAATGACTTTGTTTGTGGTCTACTGGTTACACACTCGTGGCTCGGTTTTGATAGACTACTCGGGCTGCGCCCTCGCTCCCAGCCTTTGCCTACTCCTAGCCTAGCTTTAACTGCGTATAACCTGTTGGGTCCCCAGAACATGCTAGAGGCCGTTGAGCTTGCTAGTCAGAGCGCTCCATCAGCTGCTACCTGAGGCTCTTTCAACAAACAGGTGATGTAGTTGCGGTTGGGGAGTTTGAGCGGATGATTACCCTCGGCGCTCATGCACAACGAGGGTACGGTAGTTGGGTCTATCTGCCTGTTACTCTACATCTCACTTCTCGAATATTTGTTCGTCTCACAAAGGAACGGGCAATGAAATTTTGAACGGTTTTCTCTGAAATGGCTCCTGCAAAGCTAGAGCGCGAAAAACAAATAAACAACGGCTTACCAGGGTCTGATCGATCCGCGTGCTCTGCGTACCTCGGAGGCACCAGAAGATGCAACGCGGGGCGTGTATCGCCTCTCGCATGCTATCTATATAGTGTAGTTAGCCCGCGTCAGACTCTGCACGAGTGTAACTAAACCCAGCCAATCAATTGCGCGTGCGCGTGACAATGCGCCGAAGGCCCTCGGCACGCATGCACAGCGAGGGTTACAGTACTTGGTTTGTCATTCTGTCCGTCTGTCCGTGTGTCTGTTACCACGTTTTCTCCCGCTACGAGCCACAAGACGGCAAAAAAGTGATACCAACGGGTTCAGTGCCACACTTGCTTAATTTTAAAAATGGGGATTTTCGTAAAGTACTGTGTTGTAAAGTTATGGCGTGAAAACCAAGTCAACAAGCCAATATGCTAATTAACTCAGCGCGCGCATGCGCAGCCAGAGTTACAGTAGTCGTTCTGTCTGTCTGTCCGTCTGTTACCACGATTTCTGCCACCACACGCAACAAATAGCGACACCAGCGGGTTCAGCGCTACACTGGCTTTATTTTAAAATAGGCGATTTTCGTAAAAGTGCCGCGTTCAGAAGTTATGGCGTGAAATCCAAGTGAACAAGCCAATATGCTAATTAGCACTGGCTTACCTCAACCTGATCCGCTTGCTCTGTGTACCCAAGAAGCCACAACGAAGGGCGTGTATCGACTCCCGCATGCCTGTGTCAGACTTTCCGAGCTACTAGCGGGAAATCACGTATACTAGTATAATAGGCCCGCGCATGCGCAGTTCGCCGAGGGTTTGCACTTTAGTGCTTTTCATTACCCTCGGCGCGCATGCACAGGGACGGTACAGTAGTTGTCTGTCTGTGTGTGTGTGTCTGTCTGTTACTCTACATCTCACTTCTCGTGTGTTTGTTCATCTCACGTAGGATATGACCTACTTAAGGGTAATGAAGGTCGGAAATTTCGAACGGCTGACATTCTTCTCCGTTGCAAAGCTAGAGTGCGAAAAGCCAATATGCAAATACAAAACGGACGGGATGGGGTCTGATCGATCTGCGTGCTCTGCGTACCTCGGAAGATGCAACGCAAGGCGTGTATCGCCTCTCGCATGCTATCTAGTAGTGCAGTGTAGTTAGCCCGCGTCAGACTCTGCGTGAGCTGGCAAGCGACCACTAACAACTAAAACTAAACCCAGCCCATCAATTAGTGATACGGTGCATGCGTTTACTTACGCGTGCGTGTCCCAATGCGCCGAGGGTTTGCACTTTAGTGCAGGGGCGTAGCCAGGATTGAATCTTAGGGAAGGAAAATATGTATTTATTATTCATGATTAATTGCGCGCATGCGCAATGTCAGCGTTTACTCGCGATGATCGCGGAAGGCCAGAGGAATACGGCAATGCCCGGAGCTATCTATCCCAGGCTTGTAAGGATGTGTCCGCTCTTGGTTGATGTAACCCAGAGTTAACTGCATGCTCTCGCTGCTGGCGTTTGTCGTTGGTTACACTGCGAAAAGTTGTAATAAATTATTCATACGTCGGCAAAAACAGGAGAGGCAACTGCCTCCTCTGCCTCAATGCTAGCTACGCCCGTGCAGTGCTTTTGATTAACCCTCGGCGCGCATGCGCAGCGAGGGTTACTGTAGTCGTTCTGTCTGTCTGTCTGTGTTTGTGTGTCGACGCTTATTCTGGCGCTACAGGCTACGAAGCGGCCCATTAGCGATACCAGAAGCTTCAGAATTACACGAGCCTGAAAATTAAAAGGCCGATTTTCCTGAAACTACTGCGTTCGAGAGATATGCCTTGCGAAAAAGCCAATATGCATAATCGCACTGGGCTTACCGCGACCTGATCCGCTCTCTCTGTGTACCTTGGGGGCTCAGGGAGTCACAACGAATGGCATGTATCAACTCCCGCATGCTATCTACTACTGTAGCTAGCCCGTGTCAGACTCTCCGCACACTTCTAGCGGGAGACCACGAGTAAACGCATACTACCAGCCCATCAATTAGCAGCATCGCGCATGCGCAGTTCGCCGAGGGTTTGCACTTTAGTGCTTTTCATTTTAGTATTGATTATGGGATATACATACATGAATTACAGGAGAAGCTTTATAGCCTATTGGGGTGTTGCAGTAATGTAATTGACATGTGACCATACAAAGATCAGATGAACAACAGGCAACGACGGGAGGTTTGCAGGGTTGTCCCCTAGAGCGGTGAACTACAGCATGTCAACAAAATTACCCATGCCCTCTAGAGCCAACCTGTACTCTTTTAGACTACGGTAACACGCAATTGCGAGTTTAGGGGTAACTAATTTGTTAGTTACCTCTTCCGCGGTAACTATTCGTAGCCCTGGTAACCACGCCTTCAATTCGAAAAGACGCCACGCACGCGGACGGTGAACGGAGCTTCTGGAGCGGTTCTTCCCACAAATAAACCAGGAACAGGCTCTTCTAGCAGCAGCGCATGACAACTAGCGAGCTAGGAAGACGCTAGAGAAAGCGTGCAGGGAAAAACGCGTGAAAATGGCCGGGCGCCGCGATCCCAAAGGGCAGCAACGCCTACAACGGACACTGCAGCGGGACGGGACTTGCGCTGTAGTCTAAGCCGGTTAGACGTGTCGCCTTGGGAAACTACGTGAATTAGTGATCCTCGGAGCCCTTTGTAGCGCCCTCGCTGCGCTCGGGACGCCGACAGCTCAGGGCTCCTCGGCTCGCTAAATCGCGTAGTTCCCGCGTCTCCGTGTCTAACCTATACGTAGACACTTCTGTTTGTGTAGAACAGTTCTCTAGAGGGTCTTCTGCCTCTCTATCTTCTTCCTGCTCGACTGTTCTTTGGATAAGAAACCGTTTCATTGCGCTATACACAAACTAGCAGCTGCACACATGAACCACGTGTATAAAGTTAAAGGTCAATTATTTAGTTAGTAGTGCGCTATGGGGACAACCCTGGTTTGCCCTAGTGTTGTTTTGGACCCCTGCCAACTGTGTAGCTCAGTTAGTAGAGCTGCTCACCTCAACCGCTGAGTGTCTTTTGTTCTAATCCAACCCATAGATGTTCATTTTTTCCTTGGAAAAAAGAGCCGTCCTTGGTGTGATTGACTTGTTTGCTTTGCCTTTGCCTTCTTACGTTGTTGACACATTCATACGGTGCACTGACCGAGCCCGTGCTGCATAATTAGGTTTATTTCGCTATGGCACTCCGCACATGATGTCACTTCCTTCATATAGATGGGGAAGATATGCTAAGCTGCATATTAATGGTGTTTTATTGGTATCGCAAAGATACTCTCCATGTTCATGCATATATTTGTTTGTCACAGGAATGGAGCAGAAACACACCATACTGACAAAGGTGGAAGAACTGTATTTCACTTGGCATCAGTCAGTGAAAATTACAAGTACGTAAGAATGTAGCAATTAAACATTATAGAAATTCCTTAAAACACTCAACCTTACAGTTGATTGAGTGCAACCTATACCGGTTATACAAAAACCCTCCTTATTGACATTGACAGTGATAAACCTGTTGCAACTGTCTTTTTTTGTCACTCACTGCAAGTGCAAGACATAAACATAGATATTGTCATGAGGAAACTATTTTGGAACCAGCGTTGTTTTCAGTGTATAATATCCAGGACTTGTCTTCATTCCCTTCCTTTATTCCCTCGCATCGTCAGTCGCCTGACCGCTCTGCTTAATTTTGCATCTCACGCTATGACATGTGCAACAAAAGACACTAGCCTATGAGTATCATAAGGAAATAAAAGTCATCTTTTTCTAAAGCCACTTGCCAAATATACTGTTGCCCGGTCCGGCATTTTGTTTCTTTTTCATGAATGAAACTCACTATGGACCAGCAGTCTCTCTCTAAGAACTTAGCAGCATACAAACTACTAGTTAGATTCTTGTTGGTTAGGTTTTTCCGCCACTTATTTGTCTATAGCTCAGTTTTTTTAGCAATAATGACTGTAGCAACATATTGTTGTGGTCTAGCTGATGAATACCTAGGTATAGAGTGGTGTAGCTAGGTTGTGAAGGTTCATAATATATGTAGTACTGACTGAGTTTCAGTTGTTTATATTGCTGTTCCAGATGGGGCTTAGAGCAATGCCTTGGTCTTGGTTGAAATTACAGGAGGTTGAAAGAGGCAAACTTTGCCTCTTTCAACCTCCTGTTATACCCGTGTGGCTCTAAGTCAATCACTTGACTTTCCTCCCAGGCTATCTGGTGCTGCATCTCCAGTGTGTTGTGTCACAGCTGATTTTTGTGGTTCCCCGTTTTTCCAGCATCTCCAGTGTTCCTTTAATCTCACAATTAATATGCTCTGCCTGTTTCACCTATGTATGACTGTTTACAGTCCAAGCAGGAGATACGATAGCAGTTTGTTCTTTTATGTCGCTCTGTTTTTGTAAGCAGCGATCTGAGTGTTTTTCCTTTGGTTAAGAGTACCTTATGCCGACTTTGGAGCACACTCCCCTGATACTCTCACTCTAGGATGGAGGTCACAACCAATATCTCATCATCCTGCAAAATGTTCTTCTTGGTTGTCAAGGCATGTTTGATCTTAGCCTCTGGGTACCCATTTGGTTTGAAAGTCTCTATCAGATGTCGTGTCTCATGATTAAGTGATTCACTGTTGTTCCATATTGTTCTTGCTCGATGTTTCAGTGTGCGAATGACACCAAATTTGACCATGGGGGGATGGTTGTAGGTAACGGCCTGTGTGAGTTGGTTTCCAGTACACCGCTGGTGTCCCTTGTCACCATGACATCCTGCTGTTAGAAAGTCCAATATATTAGCTAGACTTAATAATTGTTGCAAAGGGTGAGTTAAATTGTGAAATTTAATCACAGCATTAAAACAATGTTCTGCGCTGAGGGGTTGCACTTTAGTGCGTTTCATATCCACTTGGGCTTCACTCTTTCTTTCATTGGTTGTGGAAGCTGGCTAGTCAGTGTAGTTTACAGGAGTGAGAGAAAAATAGAAGATGGTATGGCAGGGCAGTATGGTAGTGGGACGATGGAAAGATAAGGCAGGATTGGTTAGGGTAACTTTTGGAAGGTGGCTTAGGGAATTACTTGCTTAAGACTTGAAATGAGATACTAGTGGAAGGAATTGTACAAAATTAGGTTTTTTTCCTTGAAGTGCTTTTTTCTGTTGTCAGGGAATTTTGAAGAGGGGGTGAATAGTAAAGTAAAGCGTGGAGTTCATGGAACAAGTGATGCTGGGTGTTCAAGTTAAAGTCAGGCAGTGCATGTAGTTGTTTTGCTTTGCCTTTCTACATTACTTCGTTGACATATGCCTTTACTCGGCTTGGAGTTGGGCGTCTTTGGTACCTTAGAGGCACACGCAAAGTGGGGCAAGTATCGACTTACACATTCTACCTAGTAGTGTAACTAGCCTGTAACAAAACTTTTAGCAAGCTAGCATGATCTCACTGTGAGTATAATATAGCGCATGCTATCAACAATACCACTCATGTGTATACCTATGTGTGCGCGTAGTGCACCGAGGGTTTGCACTTTAGTGCTTTTCATTTTGTGTTGTAGGCTTGTCTACAGTTGTGTAGATGGCAAATGTATTTTTTGTTCATACAGTGTTTATGTCTTTGGCTTCAATTTTGCAGATGTTTGGAGTACTTATGTAGATATGGATCACCTGCTGGAATGAACATAAGAGATAATTCTTATAGAACACCATTAGTTGCTGCTGCACAAGCAAAAATCCCTGGTCATGTACAACGATTACTAATGGCAAAGGTTTGTGTAATAGTTTTGTTGTGATTTTTACCAACTTTAAAGTGGGGAATATCAGGCTGGAGCAAGCTAACCTAGTGGTCCTAATGGCGCGACTTCTCTGTTGTATTTATATATGTCGGCAGTCCACCAACATATCCGCTTATTTTGATGCAAAATAATCTAAGAAGTACGCTGACTGCTCAATGTAACCAGCAAGAGAGTTGTCGTCCACTCAGTGCCATTCACAGGTTCGCTGCCTGACCGAGGCTCTATCTCTTTCCACTCTGCGCAGTTCCAAGATGTAGGTTGAAACTGGGCTAGTATTGCTGGAGTCATTGTATGCATGCTCCTTTCGCCAAAAATGATTCGACTACTAGTTTTCTCTATGTGGAATAGATAGCATGGGGGCTATACATCCCCTAACATATAAGGTAAGAGGGGGGGCCCTCTTCTTCATGATGTGTGAGCTTGTACTCCTGGCAGCAGACACAGATGCTCCTCACAGTGAATGGTCATTGAACCCCCTTGCATTTACCCCAATTTATCCAGTGTGGAGTGTAGTTTCCTACTGCAGGCTTTTAACTCGTCGAGTGGATGACTAAACTGAGTCTCTGCTTTTGAACTCGAAGTTCCGCAACTGTCCTGTGTATTTTTAAAAAGGACATTACAAAATTCCTCCGCATAATCAATGGAGATTCGACTTCTGGTGAGATTCTTGAGCTCATCTTCTTGAACTGAGCGACGTCAGGCAAGCAGCAGTTCTCTAGACCTATGCATATACCAAGTTTCAGGTTGTACTCGTTTCTCACATCTTGCCTACAGAACCTGCTGCGCACGAGAGGTCCTACCATAGTCTGCGCAACGTGGGTGCGTTGGAATACGGGACGTTTTTGTGCCCCCCTCTGAGCTCTATGAAACCTATACCTGTCTATAGCATAGGGAGTAGGGCTACAATATAATAGTACTCCCTTTGGATCCAGGTTCCCTCGTAGACATAGTGCGCAGCGGTATGCGGACAAAAATAACTATTTCTATATGAAATATGTGGTTGAGTGAATAGTCATGTGCAAGCTAGAGTCCTTATTAGTTCTTTGTATGGCATAGAGGCTGGTGTATGAACTTTCAGTGTTTTGAAGGCAGCTTCACACGTTGTTCTCATCAGGAGTCAGAACCATCATCACCAACACACAATTTCCCTATTCCGTCAGTAGTTCCTCTTCTAAGGAATGGCATTATTAGTTATTTGTATGTCATAGAGGCTGGTGTATTACTTACGAAGGCAGCTTCACACGTTGTTCTCATCAGAGGAGTCAGAACCATCATCACCCTCTTCGTCACCAACACAATTTCCCTATTCCGTCAGCAGTGACCTATCATGCAGCAATTGCCCTTGCATTGGAATTGGGCTTCTATTAGAGAGGGATGTATTAGTCTACAATTTCCTTTTTGTAGCTTCTAGGTTTGCCATTTTAGCTCCTCCCTGGATTCTGGTTTGTTAGGCTTTGTTCTTTGACAGTTGCAGATACGCGTAGTGTAGCACAGGGCTCTGTACACACTAATCTTGCTGCTCAACCTGGTGACTAAGATGGGGTACAGAGCCAGAACACCTCCCTACAGCTATGGAAGGCTGTATTGTGTAAAATTAAGCTGCATTATCAACAGTTCGACTAGATGAAGCAACGCTCCTGCACGTCTTCAACACATATCAGGTTTTGCAGTGGCTACACGCAAGCTACAGAGCAAACAGATCTATTAAAAAAGTGGGCAAACTCTGTCCCCGTGCCTAATTTAAAGCAGCTTGAAAGCACGCAGCACTTCATAAACATACTTAGCATCTGTTTCTAGCTGGTTAGTTTCCCCTCCCATCGCATCAATTTGACAGATTTGTTTGCCGAAATCGCTAAATATCGGACAGGAAAAAAGTAAAGGTGTATGCGAGGATTGTGAAGTTGGCACATATGTGCTCACATGCTCCATTTGCAATCACAGTTACGTAGCCTCATATATCTAAGATTTTCTCAGAGCACGTGTAGCATGAAACGGGTGTGGTCGACGGTACAACACGGGCGGGCAACCAAGTCGACGGCCGAAGGCAGGCGGCTCACTGAATACTGCATGTACGGCATATACCGCTATGTCTCCAACGTTAGCGAGTAAGAAATCGATGACCAGGGAGACGCTCGTAAGCCCGTACTGTCAAGAACACGCGTCCATTCCTTCGTGTGTACGCCTGAAAATGCATTGCCAAGGTGCCGGATTCGAAAGGATGCACACGGTTGCCAAAGGTTAGACGGTGGATTCCTCAGAGAATACGTAAAAATCAGAAACCCTCGGGCCGTGTAGCTACATCAGACCTCAGAGGCGTAGGCAGGATTTTAGAAGTGAGGGGGCAAAAGCGATGAAGGGCGCATGAAAATTTTTATACCGGAAGCCACACACGTATTTACACAGGAAGCCGGAAGTAAAAAGTAGGCCGGCGTGCGGCGCTAGTAGGCGAATGCATGCCATTTTTGCCGAGCGGGAGCTAGCACACAATGACTGTATCTGCATTAGACATCCTAGCCTATTTACAACTGGAACCTTAGAACCACGAAGATTGGAAAGAGGTATATACAGCCTCGGTCATGTATCGAAGAGCGCAGCGAATGCCAGCGAATACACGAGAGTTCTTTCGCTGGCTAGATTTCACATTGATATGACAGCTAGGCAGCGTGTAAAAATGAAAATAAGTGCGTTCCGTATCAACGAGCCTCTCTCTGCTCAGGAGTCTCACGGGCACGATGTTATCTTTCCCTCTCACTTCGACGACGAAGGGCATCTTCTCTGGACTGATCCAAAGAATACGGAGCTACACACATGCACGACATCAGGGGGCATGTGAAAATTTTGAAATCCTTTCGGATAAAAACAAGCGTGTAATCCTGGAGCATGCGCAGTTGGACGACGTACGGTTGTAGATATATATGAGGAAAATTCCGCGCCGTTTGTAGCTCGCTCCCGCTCGGCAATAATAGTATGTATTATTGGCTAGGCTCAGCAGTCTGTCAGTTGGAGACGCCTCGGATGACATCTTGAGAATTCATCATCGGCATAACGTGCGCAAAAGAACCTCGCCCACATTTTAACGTGCGCATGTGTTCATACGCGATTTTCGCGAGACGCCTGAAGGTGAAAAGCGGTCTCGTTGCCGTCACTCCAACTGTCTTTGCTGACTCCAGGGAGTAAAGTAAGCTAGTCTCGCGTAGGCACTCAGAGAAAAGCGTTTACCTGCAAAAAAGGGGGAGCAATTACCCTCGGATTTCTGATTTTACGTATTCACCTCGGACCCATCGTCTAACCTATATATACCGGGCCCTCACTCCGCTTTTTACGTTCAAAGTGATACGTTAAAAATTTCGCGTGGAGAGGGGAACCAGTAGACGAGACTACTCCCTTATCTAGCATAGGGATGGATGTGTAGTACTTCTAATTTCACATAATATTTTTATTTCTTTTCAGGCCGATTTAGGTATTAGTGACAGTCAAGGTAGGACAGCACTTCACTATGCTGTTTTATACAACTCTCTGCCATGTGCACAAGCCATCGTTGAAACCAGTGTACGTAAGAAATATGTGTACACACAGTGCAGAATTGAAGGTTGATTATGGACATTACGAAATTGCAATATTCACCCATAATCCAGTGCATACAAACTCATTAGTATTTCCTGTTTCCTAAGCGTAATTCTCACACAGTGTAACTTTGCACTACACATATGCAACAAAAGTGCAACTTATTGAACAATTTGAGATTCTAACTTTAACACAAGCTGGCTGAATCATTGAGTAGCATTTTATATACACTGAACTGGATACCTAGTGGGAAAACATATATTGGGTAAGCTGTTGCTCATTTGCAATTGGCTTTTCACTCGTGTTTTGCGCCATAAATCCCAAATGCATAGTTATAGAATAGCGGTAACTGACAGACAGACACACACAAACCAAGTACTGTAACCCCCACTGCACACGTGCTGAGGGTTGAAAACAGTAACCACATAGATATATGTGTGTACATGTTTAAAACCAACACCTGCAATGTTGGTAAGTGGTTGGTTAGTATTGATGCGTTACAAAAGATAGAAAAACTGAAAATGGATTAGATTTCTGCACTGGGCCTTGTTGTTTAACTAAATTTCTAAACTCAGCCCTTACATAGTGTCATATTCCCTGAAACTAATGCCTGACTTACAAGAGTTATAAGCCGCAGCCTAAATACTTTACTAAGAGCATGACATACACATTACATTAATGAAAATCTCTAAGGTGCAAACCCTCGGCACATGGAACATGCGCACGCATAATTATTATTGTGCATAGTTGTCTAACGGCCAGTTTTTCGCTGTATGGGCGCCGTTTTAGAGACAGGATACATATCCGACGAGTACCTTCCCTTCCAATGCACTGAATATGGTCAAGTGAGTAAGTACTGACTATCCATATTGGTTTTTTCGCTTGCCATTGCTCTTAGGTCATACAGTCATTTCAGAACAATTGCTTTCATGCTCTTGTCATTCTAAAGCACGCCCTGTAGCATGTAGTGCAAGAATAGAGACAAGTACTGTATCCCTCGCTCCGCATGCAATATTATTGTATTTCTTCATTCAGCCTAATGATATCAACCTTATTGACACTGCTGGACAGAGTGCACTACACTTAGTGTGCATTCATGGCTCTCAACAACTTCTCCAATATCTGCTGTCCATATCAAGGTATATAAACCTCTCATTAATAATTATCTTTGAGGTTCATTGTAGTGAAATGTCAAAAACATATTTTTTCAGGTATGTAAGTTGCAAGTAAGTTAATGGTTAGATCACTGTGAGAGATTGAGATAATTCTGGCCTCACAAAATTCGTTAAGGCATGCAGAAAGCACAGAGCGGAGACGAGGCTGAGTTTTCTGTCTTACAACCGATGATGCCAACTGACTGGTTAAAGAAAAGTAGAATTCATCAACTTCAGCATAGTCCAAATCTCACTCTTTTGAGCAGGGGTTCCTTTGGTGTTGATTTGTCACAAGGCTTCCTGGATTAAGGTTCAGTAAGAGGACATGCCACTCGTATTTTTAAGATACCCAGAGGAGGTACAACACTGATCAGGTGACAAAAGTGACTGCCTTGGAAGTGCGATAAAAATGCTCAGTCGGCACCAGATTGGCATAAATTTTGGCGGTTAGGCTTAGCCTGTCGTACTTTAGTGACTGAATTGTTGCAGAAAAGGTAGATCTTTGCGTTAGGTACACCTTTTGTGCCTTAGAGGCAATAAGTCGAAGAAACGTTTCGCCTCATGTGCTGTCTCTCAGTAGCGGGCCTTATCGGTGCCTCAAAGCTCAAAGAATCCTAAATCTATTTCAAAGCATGTGTATAGTATAAAGTGGATTCTTGCATTTAGCAGTATGAGCTTCATGCCAATACACCACTGACTCGTAGCTGCCAAGTCAGCATTAATTGCTTCTGACGTGTTGTGGCCTAGAGTCACTATATGTAGTAAATTTGTGTTTCTTGATTGATGCCACTCTTAAAAAGAATTATTCTGTGCACGAGAATTCAGGAGCGAATCTTACTTGGGCTATTATGCTCTTTTATTCTCTGTGTTCTACCATGTGTTGTAAGGCCATTGGATGTAGTTTTTAAAAATCAATCATGCCTATGACTAATGTTCCTATAGATGCCCGAGTGGCCAGGTATATAGATATAATTATGATTGGCTAGTGAAACCACGATCGAAATAAACGCTAACTATGCCTATGACTACTTTCATGCCAATGTATATTTTGGAACTGAGGACCAACATATTTTTACAACCATGTTCTATAGCCTATCTTTCGCTCTCGCACATTGAAAGGCATAACAAAAGGTCAGAAACATTACCATCAATCACTAAACTATAGTAACATTCTAGCCAGCCATTAATTTTATTGAGTTGATTTGTTTTTCCTTTGCCTTTTTACCTCATAGTCCACATGTGTAATTGAAAATGCACACATTTAACAATGAAGGTAGTTTTGGAAAATCATATCCTCACATACTGTATGTATAGCGAAACAATGTAAATGCCAATAGGGTTCAATCCCCGAATACACATACAGTAAATGACTTACAGAGATGAGAGAGCCTGAGCCCTATAGCCTCCAGCTTACCGTGGAAAGGTTAACAGTGACAAGTAGCTCAAGTGGTACACCTGTATATACACCTCTTGGTGGCTGAGGTTTCACACTTTAGTGGTTTTAATTTAGTCAGCCCAAGCTAGCTCTGACCACCAGTCTCCGAAAAAGTTTTTGCACTAGGAATCATCCAGTTGCCATAATACTAGAAACCTTTGCAGTGATGGTTGAGAGGCCCCACACAGTTAAGGAGTTGCACGATTTTGACGCACATAAATGTATGTTTCTCATCCTCATGGAATTGTAGACTTAAAAACAATTTTGGACAGGGATGCTGATCCGAGAATGAAAGATGGGACAAACGTAGGATGGCCAAATCTCAGCAGTTAACATTAAACACATGTGCAACTGTATAGGAGGTACTATTCTCCAATTTTTAACCCTTGGCGCGCATGCGGAGAAAGCGTGGTAACAGACGGATAAGACAGACCAAGTACTGTAACCTCGCTGCGCATGTGAATCAAGGGTTAATAAAATGGCGAGTGTCGGCATCGCGAGCCGGTTGGGGCTGCTGGGGTGGTGGTGGCGCCTACTAGCCCCGCCCCCAATGTGAACACGTGGTTAGCTAGCTAGGTGTATGCTTTTGGAGCAGTGGTAGCTTTGAGCAAAAAAAGAGAAGCTGCTGGATCTGTGGGGATGCCACGGACCATCTCAGCTCACTGAGGGTAGCGGAGGCTATGTTTCGGCAGAGGTTTGCCAGGACAACTGTCGAACACACTTTGTGTCTCTCGCATCACATAAATTCGTCCATGTAGGATGTAACCATGTCAGTGTGAACCCCCTTCATTTTCTTGAACTTCCTCTTCACCCGGTTCCAGTAGGACTCGACGTTCTGTGTGTGAACGACGGGCGCGGGGTCGACGAATTTCAATGAGTGGTTGACGGTGCCGTGTTGGGCCACTGGAGGCAGCTGCTGGATGTTCACTGATCACTGTGGACAATGGTCCCTGGCCTGAGGTGTCTCTGCATGATCAGCAGGAGGAGGAGCAGGACCATCAAACCTAGAGCTGAAGTACTGCTAGTGTCAACCGTTTTCCCACAGTTTTAGCTCTACCACGAAAGACCCACTTCTTTCGCAGCGCCATACTGCAGCACGTGTTTGGCAGCATGTGAAAAATATGGGGCGGGGCTAATAGGCGCCACCAGCGTCACCAGTGTGAGCGGTAAGCGGTTACGGAAGCTGTTGCACTTGTGGTCCGTATATTAGTATTAAAGTTGATCCACCACCTGTACCGCACAAACTTCGAACAGTTTCTTGCTATATTGCAAGGATGTTAGTGTGAATTCCATTAAATTGGCACTATTTCCACTTCAATAGAAAGTGTCCGAACTCATGAATAAAATTGGCGAGCTGCCTACCTGAATGTGGGATTTTCCATATAATCTGTAATAGTACACCAGCACACGTTATTCTTGATACGCACATAAACGCGCACGACATATTCAACTGCTCACTTCGCTCACCAAAAATGCATTGCATTCTTCCAGTACTAATGAGGCATTAACAAAAGTCCTTCACGTACAGTTGTTCCGCCAGTGTACAGTATACGGAGATTTATTTTTTTAAACGGAAAGTGTATACGCGCACCAATTCCTCCGCGCAATCAATGGCGATCTGACTTCTGGTGAGGTTCTCTGGCTCTCTCAGAGAACTGAGCGATGTCAGGTAAAAAAACTCTATAGCAGTTAAGCAGACCTATGCATGGATATACCAAGTTTCAAGTTGCAGTCCCGACGCGTCCTGCTGGCAGAGCCTGTTGAGCGTGGGAGGTCCGATTGCAACCCGTGCGTCATGGGTGCCGTTGAACACAGGGCATTTTTTGTACCCCCTCTGAGCACCTCGAAACTTATACCAGTCAGAATAGGGCTACAATATATGCAGTGCTGCCATCGGTTCCCTGTTTCCTTGCAGTGATATGCTCGTTGGTATTTTCATACACATAATGTACATACATTCTTTACGTGTACTTCCAGTCTTGTACACCACAGCCATTGCAGAAGTCTAAATGTCGATGCTTGTCACTACTTGCACGATAGCTGCTCCTGCTACCACACACTGTAAATTCACAAACACTTCACGCGTGTGAGTAGGTAACATAATGTTGTGAACGGAGGTGAAATGAGCCACCTAGCTACCTCCTCTTCACTTATAACTGCCTCACATACTTTATGTCAAAGGTAGTGGGGTACTACAGTGCAGTACTGTACTAGTACTGCCCAGGTATTGCCACACCCAGGTACACAGCAACATTGCTTTTGCTTTTTGAGCTCTTGCTTACTTCTAGATTCAATATAATTATATTCTCTGCATTTACCACTCATTCTAGGCCAGAGATTGCATTCACAAATCTAGCTCGTACATATAGGCGTAAGGGAGGAACTGCTGCAACTCACTTTTCCACTGCAGGATGACCGTGTACATCTCTAAGATGCTCCCTACATAGAGAACAACGATTCTGCTGTTCAGAAACTTCTCTGTGACAGTCGTGTTCACCACTCGCGGTTTTAGCTGCCACTTTTTGCGAGGGAACCGGGAACCAACGGCAGTACTGCATATATTGTAGCCCTATTTCCCTGCTACAGACTGGTATAGGTTTCGTGATGCGCAGAGGGTGGCACAAAAATGCCCTGTGTTCAACCACACCCATGTCGCGCGGGGCACGATCTGACCTCTGGCACTCAGCAGGCCGTGCAGCTCTGCCGGCAAGACACGGCAGGACTGCAACTTGAAACTTGGTATATGGAGACCCCATTCATAGGTCTACGGAACCGCTGTAGAATTTTATGCCAGACGTCGCTCAATTCTCTGAGAAAAGCCAGAGAAACTTGCCGGAAGTTCGGTAGTCGCTAATTAAATGAAGGAATGTCTTTGCGTAGTAACTTCTGCTTTTTCAATAAATCTCCGTATACTGTACACTGGCAGAACAACTGCATTGTACCATCCTATTATTAGCTATTATGCACCCTATTTTATCCGCCTGTTTTTTCTTCTACAGCTGTCATTTAAACTTACAAGACAAAACAGGAAACACTGCACTGCACTATGCTGCGATGGAAAATCGCTTGGATCTGGTTAAAATGCTACTCTCAAAAGGAGCAAGTGTAGTACTAAAGAATAAAGGAAATATTACACCTTTGCAATGTAGTTTAGAAATGGTGAGTTTGAACCCCTGTATGATTGTGTTATATAGTAGTTGTGCATATGACCTTGACTCTGGAGTTGGTAGAGCATTAATCTCTCCCCAGTCAAAGCAATTTGAACGGCCTACATCAGTGACTACTGCAAATGCTTACCTTTATATCCCCATGGTTCATTGAATGGGTCGAGGTAAGTCATAGTTCACCGTAACTCTCAACCGAAGTATTTTCACGTCTTTATGCACTAGTTTGCGTAACTCTCAAGCGAATTATTTTTAGCTATATTAATTATGATGAATCCCTTTATGCAATGAGAACGAGTTCTAGCCACCTTGCCTTTAGTTCCAGAATCATGAGGCGCACTGACAAACAGGACCAGGTACAAAAATGCATGCACCCCAAGGAAGGTGTAAACCCTCAGCACAATCAGCATGTCCATACATTTGGTACACATAACTGACCATTGTCTATCTACGTCAGCAAAGGTTTAAGGCAACTCTACTGGCAACTTGTGTGATGATTTTCACGACGCTTTTTCACTTGGATGTTAAATCTTATAAAGTTGTATGGGCCTGAGCTCACATGGGATATGTTGGTGCGTAATGCCCGAGGGTCGCAGGCCTGAGGGTTTTACTGTGCACATGTGGAACCCTAGCCAAAAACTACCCTTTACATAGTGACTAGCAGGGTATCCGCTTCCCAGCCTTGCACAAGTAATCGTTGTCCAGAGGTAAGCCCAGGCAGCTGTACTACTCTCAGATTAGGATAAGAGTGACACACTTTTCTATTGTAGGCAACATGTGCTCTTTTGTAATTGGCGAGCGAAGCAAGCCTTCCTATGGTCGTTTCAATGGGGGAATTATATATGTGATGGGCACACGGGTACTGCACATACTGCAATGTTGTACGTGATTAACCCTTTGGGCGCTATAGGTGTCTCCTTAAATAAGCAGAAATTGATGTATAACATATTAGCGCCTAGTATTATAGCCATATATAAATTCTTATGCACTTATGAAGGCTCTGTGCATATATATATGTAAATTGCGCCCAAAGGGTTAAATGCGCATAAAACACGTGGATATTTAACTGCTCACACTGCAATACGTCATGTGCAAAACACGCGTGAAATATTGAACTGATCGCATCACATTGTTGTACGTAATTCACAAGAAATGCTCATGCTCGCTCGCCAAACAATGCATTACATTCGTCTAGTTTATAATCGGGGTCGGGCACTGTCACTACCTACCTGATGCGAAAACACGGGAAAAATATCGAACTGCTCATGCTTGCTTTGCATTTCTCTAGTATAAAGCTTTGCGTAGCCTGCTCTATTTCGATCCTTGCTCAACCTTTCCACTAGCAGCTACTGCACTAGACTTAATATCATACACATGAGTCAGACCCTGGCGGCCTGACCAGTTGTGCAATTCATTTCGTCATTAACGCTACATTGTTCTGAAACGAAGGTAGCTGAAGAAATGAAACAAAATTCTTATTGCAGTATGTTATTCGTTCTCTCCCATAGGGTTTTGATGAGTGCTCCAAGATTTTACAGACCTTTTAGCAGGATTTGAGCATGTTTACTAATGCATGTTACATACATAATGATCAACAGTTTACACCAATTAATAAGTTGTAATCGAGATATTATAAGAGCAAAGTGAGTGCAAAGACACTAGCCGGGAACTGAATGACACTGTAGTGGAGGCAGCCCCTGAAGGAAGCAACCCGCGACCTAATTTAATCCTCAGTGCTCATGTGCAACAAGGGTTGTTCGTGAGTGTGTCTGTCGGTCTGTTACCATGTTTTCTACCACCACGTGCAAGAAATCAGCCACACAGCGATAGTAACGCGTTCAGTGCTACACTGGCTTTATTTTTATAAAGGCGATTTTCATAAAGTGCGTTCAGCTATGGCGTGAAAACCAAGTGATAAAGCCGATATGCCAATTATTACTGCTTACCTCGACTGGATTTCGCTGATGTGGAGGCATCAGACATACAATGGAGGGCATCGAGCATCTTTATAGCAATGCGCTATAAAGCCTCACTCAGTGAAATGCCACTAGTACTGCTGTAGCCTCGAAACCTGGCTTTCCTGCTGTCTCTACCCCCCTCCAGTTGGTGGCCTAATGTTCTCACCTTCAGTAATGGAGCCCCTCTTCCAAGAACATCCTCGGCCTGTTCTCCCTTCCAGTTGGGGTCTTCTCATTTTTACCCCCTTAAGGTGGCAGTTCACCCCTATAACCTGGAAGTATGGAACAATTTACAGCACATTTCCACGTTGGAAATATATACCTATGCTAAGAAACTAGGTATCAAATGAAAGCTTTAAATATGCATAATAGAGACTGCAACAAGAGCAAGAGCAGGTTTTAAGTCAAGCACCTAAGCAGGTTTTGGGGGCAAAATATCTGCTTCTAGCATGCTCCTAAAATTGGATTAATACGCACTCTTAACGTTTTTATGCGTTTTAGCAACGAACGCGTACAGAAATAGTTACGCACCAAAGACACATAATATGACAGAATGTGCTGGCGTACTGACCGCATTTTGTGACGTACCAGGACTATAGTACGTTGCCGCAATGCTCAGAGAGTGTAGAACGTGTTGCATTGGTTTTACGTGGATATGATGCCACATACGCGAGATATTTTGTCCCCAAGCGTTACCGCACTGAAACACTCGGATGCGACTATGAATATCATATCACTTTTTTCCAACATCAGGTTCCACTGTAATGGATGGGCCTGTTGGAGATAGATGGGCACGTTCCCCGAACTCAGTACTTAAAGATTCTTTCTTTCCAGACGTGTATTGGGAACTGTCTTAATTCTCCTCCAACAGCGGCATTGGAAGCATTTCCTGGGAGGTGCAAAATGTATTTGTATAATTGCAGTTCTGTTCTGTCAATCTGTTCATCCTATCAAATCCCCTTCCATAACATAGAATACGTAACACAATTGTAGAGATTGGTGTAGGAGGATGTGCCAGTTTAGTAAGACACTCTTTGAGAACATGGGTCACTTATTTGCCCTTTGCTTTGACAACCTTTCCACTCCCAGTTATCCATGCAGACTCCCAGGTACTTGTATTCACTGACGCTTTCTAGATACGTAGGTGCTAACAGGTGGTTTTTGTTTGTGCCAAGAACACAGGCCTTTGTCTTCTCTGTATTTACCTCTAATTTCAATTTGGAGCAGAATATCTCAAGTGTTTGACCTGCCGCACTTTTTGAAAAAAGAATGATATCATCTGCAAACATCAGAATGTCCAGGTGACAGTCTTGTAGAGCATGGATCTTTGCCGGCTCTACTTCGAGACCACTGAGTAAAGGGCTTAGATTACAGGCTTTACTCCTTTTTGACAGGCTAATTCTGCTGCAGCCAAATTAGAGGACAATTTTTCTTGCATTGGTTTAGCTTAGCTTGCATTGTACAATGTTTATAAGTTCGTCACTAATGCCAATATGTTGCAATACGGTGATCCACATTACCAAAGGCTTTCTCGAGATCTACGTAGCAGACATAGAGTACCATTTTGTCTGCTTTAGCTTTTTGTTAATACACAATCAACTGCTCGCCGATGTTTCCTTAAGCCATATTGTTGCTCAGGTAGAATGTGGTTATCTTCTGCCCATTCACTTAGTCTGTCACAAAGAATTGCTGCGAAGACCTTCCCTGTACAGTTCAATAGTGTTTTATTTGCTTCTGTCCACGCCCACCTCTCAGGGTACTTTCTTCATCTAAGACAAGAGTGTCTGTGTACGGCATATGTTGAGGTAATGCCTTGTACTGGAATTCCATCAGGACCAAGTGCTTTATTATATTTCATGTTTTTGTTAGTGAATCTAAGGATAAGTTACAGACGCTTATAGATGTGGTGCATGCCTACTGTCGAAAATGGAGGCTAAAGGCTAATGTGAGTAAGAGTGCAGTGATGGTGTTCGCTAGGGAGTCAGTGGATGGTGCTTGGAAATGGTGGGAGTATGTTTTGCCTAGAGTATCTAAATACACATACTTGGGTGTTGATTTTACTAGTACTGGTGCATGGGATGTGCATATCAAGAATGTGTTAGACAATGGTAGAAGGAAGGTTAATCAGTTACATAGTGTAATTAGTAATAGGGATATTAATTTGAGTGCTCGCAGGTTGTTGTTGCTGGCGGTGGTTAGGCCAACTTTAGAGTATGGGGGTGAGGTGTGGGAAGCCAATAAGACTCAGGCAGCTGCGTTAGAGTCCGTTATGCTGGGAGGAGCTAAGCGCATTCTTGGGTGTTCGTCTAAGACATGTAATGAAGCCGTTAGGGGGGATATGGGGCTTGATACGTTACAAGGGCGTAGGGATAAGAATAAGTTGAAGTGGTGGTAAGTTGCGCATGCAGGCAATAGGTATCTGAAGAAGCTTTTAATCAGGAATGGAATTTTAAGCCACGGAGAGGCAGGCAGAGGAAGGGTTGGAGTAAGGTCATTGATGATCTTTTTTCGTCATTAGGTCTTGACAAGGCAGAGTGGTTGCATGATATTCAAAATGGGGATTGCTCCTTGAAGGGCTTTCTGTCTATAACAGGGGACAGTATTAATGAGAAGGGGATTAGAAAGTTTGAAGAGGGGCTAAATAGCAAAGTAAAGCTGTTATTGTATAAGACATTTAACAAGGTGGTAGAGTTCAAAAAGTACTTGCATGGGAAAAGTGATGCTGGGTCTAGATTAATGTTTAAGTTCAGGTCAGGCATGCATGGGCTAAATGAGGAATAGGGGGAGGGAGGGGGTGAAGGAGTGCCTGTTGTGTGATGATGAGTGTGAAAGTGTGAGTCATGTGTTGTGGGAGTGTCCAGCATATAGTAGTCTTAGGCGCAATTTCCTGCAGGGGGATGATGGGTTTGAGCATTTCCAGTCGCTTGATAGTTTCAGGAAAGCATCCTTTATATTGGGTAGTGAACTGTGGGAGGATAAATTTGGTTCTTTGCTTGGCCTTGTTAAAGATTTGATTTCGGATGTTTGGGAGCAAAGGAAGGTTAGGTTATACGGCGATATTCCCCGCGTACAACAAACCCAGTCTCAGATTGCGTCTGGGCAGCTGCAGGGTGTCGCTGGTGGAAGGGGTGAGTTGAGGTGTCTGGGAGGTGAGACAGACACCTCATGTTCATATGGTGTATGTTTGTTTGTTAACGGTTCCGCCCATTGCTCTGGGTGCGTGGTCTATGGCCCTAGTGCTATGGCAGCCACCTGAGTATTATTATTATTATTATTATTGACACCTTCACTTCCTCAAAAGAAATTTCGTTGTCAGGTACATAAGTACCATTTGCGGCTTGTTCTGTGGATATGCTAGCATCGGTTTGGTTCAAGGTAATATCACCCCGTTATATGACCTGTCATGCCGTCGACGGTCCACCGCCGAAACCGGTCCCTCCGGGACGTCCGTAATTGTCCCCCTGCCACACGCGGTCCCCCACCCGAAATAATTATATATGCACAAGTAGCAAGCGAACCCGTGTCTCTGTTATCTTTGCATCTTTGAGTGTCACTGAGCCGTGTCACAATGTGTTTTCCGACGGTAACTGCTACACAGCTATGTCTTCTCCCCGTTTCAATGCATTCACGTCATCGCCCACATGCGTTACTCTACTGCGCACCTTCTTCTGCACATTATGAGCGTGCATGGTACCGCGCAGTAGTGCGAAGTGCTATATACCTTAGTGCCATAAAAAGAGCGCAGTTTTTGGAAACGCGGAATCAGCAACTCTCATCGACGGATCATCAGGAACTCTCCAAGACTCAATTGACAGGACTCTCCTGCAGTCAGTCATTGAAAAATGGAGGAAGAAATTATTCAGAGAGCTACTCACGCGTGCTTATAGTATAGTGACACAGAATAATGAAAAATGCAAGTTAGTAAGAGCGTTCAGGAATTTTTGAGAGCGCCATGGGTTACAATTCACCCTGCTGGATGGTAGCCGTCCTCGGCAACCTGTTCATTCTCAGACACCCAGTCCACTTGCTTGGTAGAGAACCCTACACCTGCTTGCTTATCTTCTTCCTCTTTCTCTTGGAGCTTTCGTCTCCTTGCTGCATGGATGAGTCCACATATGGATAGTTGGCTGTTGTCCAGGGGTTTTCATCAGCTTGTTATCGTTTCTGTGGAGTCTTCAGTAGGCACAGCAGTGCCCTCCCCTTCGCGACTTGATTTCTTTTTGTCAGTATTCTCACGGACGTTTTCTTCTCTCTGAGCCGGTGTTTGTGGTGCCAAGTTGGCTTCACCTCTCTCGGAGTCTAGACCTCCACCTTGACCTCCTTTGCCAGTAGACAGGATATATGGTTGGACGTCTTCTTCAAGTCCGGTTGGACTCAGTGGTTTACGGCTAGCATCCACTGTGGTCCCTTCCCCATTGTGGTCGTGGGAGTCTTCGTCACCACCATCACCAGTTCCCGCCTCAGCTTCAATCAGCTCCTGGGTCGACTCTCCCGCAGTCTGCTCCTGCTCTCCTGACTCCTCAGCTCCTTCTCGGTCAGCTGTTGGATAGGCCCTGCTTGCCTGGCAGGAGATTGGTGAGTCTTCTTGGGTGTTCTACCTGGCGGCCAAAATTCATCTCCAACTTCCTCAGGGCAGCGGCGAAGACGATCCAGAGAGACAAGTATCGGCTCACTCTGAGGTATATCCACAGGGCAGATCCGATCAGTGTTGGTCCCCACTTCTTGTAGACGGTACGGCCCATGAAACGGTTCCTTCTGGCCCCAGTCAGTTCTGCTGGTTTTAACAGGAATACTCTCTCCCCTGTTCTGAATGGGTTCTTGGTTCATTGATCTTTTTCTGATGTTTCTGTGCCCTGGTGTCAGCTCGGCCACGTCGCACTTCGTTTTCTCCCAGCTCCGCTTCGCGATCGATCAGGTCACTCGTCCCTGGGTGACCCTCTCCTTTTGCCTGCGGCTGGATCTCCCACTGGAGGCAGGTTCGCAGGGCTTCCATCGCTCTGCGGTCGCTGTTCCGAACTTCACTCGCACGAATATCCCGGACAGGCCCCCAATTGTAGCGTTCCCCGTCTCGCTAGTTGGCGGCTGGCGCTTCAGCTGCCACGTTTGACAATCATCTTTTTACTGAAAGCCACAGAATACTGCTCTTAGACTATATAGCAAACTTTGCACTAACGCTACTCATGCGTGGTTCATAGTGACATAGAATAATTGGCGAGCGAGAGCGAGCCAACCTAGTCGTTCGTTCGAGCGGATTTGTCTATTATTGGCGAGCGGGAGCGAGCTAACCTAGTGGTGGTCCGAACGGCACGATTTTTTTTATTACGACCGCGAGTTCAAAAGTTCAAAAGTTCATGCATGAGATAGCCCTTCGGGGAGCACAAGTGGGTTACACGAAGTGGAATACACAAACCGCGTACGTCGTGTAAGTGCGCATGCGCGGAAACGTTATGCGCTTCTTTTTCCAAATTTTTACACACGCTGCCTCGCCGATCGATCAAGCCAGCGACTCCTCGGCATGCGCTGCAATCGCTGCCCCGCTGCCCTATAGCTGTAGCTAGCTAGCAAGCTCAGCATTATCGATTCTGCGATTGATTGGTCTAGAGAAGATGCCCTTCGTCGTCCACGAGAAAGGGGTAGAGAACGTCGTGTCAGTGAGACTTCTGAGCAAAGAGAGGCGCGTTTTTCTCGACGGCGACTGCGTGATAGGGAACGGGCAAGGCGACGCCTGGCCACGGAAACAGCGGAAGAAAGGGAAGCACGACTAGAGCGTAAGGTAAGTACCGTTCTGCTCACCTGCGCGATTTTTCTACGATCGACCGACCGACCGTACGTCGTGTAACTGCGCATGCGCAGCTTCGTTACGCGTTTTTTTGATCCGAAATCATTTTCCACATGTGCTACATGCGCATGCGTCAGGATAACTAACGCGCTTCTAGCTAGCTATGATGGCTCGTGCAGATCAGTGATTGTGTGCTCGCTACCGCTCGCCAAAAATGATATACATGTAGTCGTTCGAGCGACGTTGTACACGTCGTGTAAGTGCGCATGCGCGGATTTGTACGCGATTCTTTATATCCGAAACCATTTCCACATTTTCACACATGGTGCCTCGCGGTATGCGCCCTCCTCCATTCGACGGCATGCGCTGCAACGATTGACCGAGGCTGTACCTCTTCCCAATCTTCATGGTTCCGAGGTTCAACTTGCAAATACGCTAGGATTGCTCGTGCACATACTGCTGCATGTCAGCTGCCTGGTGGACCACGACTGACGAGCTGAAGGCGTAAGGTAAGTACCGTTCTGCTAATGTACAATACGCATGTAACGGCGACAGGTAGGTTTTGCTTCACGAAAGGAAAGCTGTGCACTGACGGCACGTTCTGCTGCACGAACATCGCGGGGAAATCCCAAGTTGGGTCCTCCCGCTCGCCAACAATGTTCAACATTCCCACTAGAAGTACTTGGTTTGTCCTTCCGTCCGTTTGTCTGTCTGTTACCACGCTTTCTCCCGCTACGCGGAACCAAAAAGCGTTACCAACGAACGGGTTCAGTGCCACACTTTGCTTTATTAACCCTCGGCGCGCATGCGCAACGAGGGTTACAGTAGTTGGTCTGTCTGTCTGTCTGTCTGTGTGTGGACGCTTATTCTGGCACTACAGGCCACGAGGTGGCTAATGAGCGATACCAACGGCTTCAGAACTACGCGAACCTGAAAAATTATTAGGCGATTTTCCTGAAACGACTGCGCTCGAGAGATATGCCGCGAAAACCAGCGAAAAAGCCAATATGCATAATCGCACTGGGCTTACCGCGACCTGATCCGCTCGCTCTGTGTACCTTGGGGGCTCAGGGAGTCACAACCAATGGCATGTCATGCTATCTACTACTGTAGCTAGCCTGTGTCTGACTCTCCGCGGGCTACTAGCGGAAGACCACGAGTACACGCAAATTGCCGGCCCAGCCCATCAATTAGCAGTATCGCGCATGTGCAGTTCGCCGAGGGTTTGCACTTTAGTGCTTTTCATTTTTACCCTCGGCGCGCATGCGTCGTTGGGTTTGTCTGTCTGTTTGTCTGTTCCTCTCAATCTCACTTCTCGAGTGTTTATTCGTCTCACAAAGAATCCATCTACCCAACGGGCGACGAAGGTCAGAAAATATGTGGGGTTTTCTCTGAAAATGCTCCGTTGCAGAGCTAGAGTGCTTCCAGCATTGTATGGCTAATGCCCGCTGGCGGATAATACGTATGCGCTTATATTTAGCGACCGGGTCCGCTTGCTCTGTCTATCTTGAAGGCACAAGAAGTCGTAACGAATGGCGTGTATCGACTTTTGCGTGCTATCTACTACTGTAGCTAGCCCGTGTCAGACTCTCTGCGAGCTACTTCGCCGAGGGTTTGCACTTTAGTGCTTTTCATTACCCTCGGCGCGCATGCGCAGCGAGGGTACTGTAGTTGGGTCTGTCTGTCTGTCTGTTACTCTATATCTCACTGCTCGAACGTTTGTTCGTCCCAGAAACGATACCATCTACCCAACGGGCGACGAAGGTCAGAAAATAAATGCGGTTTTATCTGAAAACGCTCCGTTGCTAAGCTAGAGCGGGAAAAAGCCAATATGCAAATACGCAACGGACGGGATGGCTTACCGCGGTCTGTTGATGGGCTGGGTTTAGTTTTAGCGGGCTCGCGGTCTCTTCCCAGCTCGCGCAGAGTCTGACGCGGGCTAACTACACTACTAGATAGCATGCGAGAGGCGATACACGCCCTGCGTTGCATCTTCTGGTGCATCCGAGGTACGCAGAGCACGCGGATCGATCAGACCGCGGTAAGCCGTCCCGTCCGTTGTGTATTTGCATATTGGCTTTTTCGCGCTCTAGCTTTGCAACGGAGCAGTTTCAGAGAAAACAATTTCTGACCTTCATTGCCCGTTCAATAGGTGGTATCCTTTGTGAGACGAAAGAACATTCGAGAAGTGAGATGAAGAGTAACAGACACACAGACTGACTGACAGACAAACCCAACTACTGTAACCCTCGCTGCGCATGCGCGCCGAGAGTTAACAAATGGCATTGCTACTCTCTCCTCCATGAGTCACCAAAGCATAAGACACCTGAACTCTATATAATTGCCGAGCGCATTAGCGCGAGGCAACTACTCCGGGTTGTATTCTCGCGATATGAGTACGTACGTGTCGGTCACGCTTAAGAATGTCAATTAGTCACGCTTAGGAATGTCAACGTCCGTAATTCGTAACGTACTTCCGCAGATTCGTAGGAAGTCTGGCTTCGCGCGCAGTCAGTAGAGCGCGCACACGAGCGGCCTCATTTACGCATTGGCTGGCAGGCGCGAGGCAAAATACGCGCGTGCGCATTCCTAGTTATATATATTAATTTTTTTCCAGTGCTGGCTAGCTTGTATAACACCCTCTCAAAAAGAACACTCAAGCCTGCATCATGGTTTTTATAATGCAGCTATTTCTACATCATAACTCCTAAAAAAGTCACTATTGTTCATCTGTGTTTTATCATGTAATGAAGGTATTACCAACTAAGTATGTTCCAAGTGACGTACGTACCCAATCTTGGGTGCAAGGCCACACAAAACAATGGATATCAACTCAAGATGATGTGACTGCAATATTTTCACCAAGAAAAGATTTTGGTAGGAAGATAAGTCGTCACATCCACATAATGTAAAGCGGAAGAGTTGAGTAAAGGGCAAGGGCGAGCTCAATAGTGCTTTCCAGCAGTTAAAGGCTAAACACAGTGATGCTTAATCATGCCTTTGTTGTTCTGAAGCCACTTATAGGCAGCCTCATTGCACACAGAGACGGTAACACTCACTGCTGCATGTGTGCTGATGGCGACCTGAACATTGCCTCTTCTCACCTGTTTTGTGAACTGTAAGATAGCAAACTATTTATGGGATTGAGCATTGGTGTATATCCCTATTAGTCACATAATTTTGTAAATGTACACACTTCTAAAAACGTCAACAAACTCGCACGATTGTGAAATTTGACCCGGTGAGCGGGAGGCATGGCGGCATTATCTCGTAAAAACACCCATGCATCCTCAGAAGTGGTCAGTCAGCACTTGGATGTGGTGGTCAGAGCTTTGATGTTCCTTTCATCAGTACTCTAAAAGGAAAAAGGTCCGGATTGAGTGAGACATGTCGTAAATGTCTGAGCCGGCTGAAAGGCAGGCACATAGGCTGTGCATGGGTCTGTAAAACGGCAGGAAGAAAGAACGCTACAGCGTGTGTGCGAAAGGGGTGAGTTGATTTGGGCATAATCATGTATGTGTGCGGAAGAGTTGCTGAAAAAACGCCAATCACGCACAGAAGATGAATTCGTGACTGAAAGACAAATCTAAAATCAATGACGTATTCAAATAACTGCACATGCGTGTTTTTAAATATGCATACATGCCAATCTAAGTAGAAACTTGTAATAGAAGTTTAGGTAAAAAGACGCAGAGATTAGGTGGAAGTGACTGTCTGAAAGTTGGATACATTCATCTTCCTACATAAATAAAAAGAGAGACGATATCTGACGACGAGATCTGCCCCATCCATGCAATATAATTTGTATCGTGGCTCCAGCTAGTACAAACAGTATGGATAGTACTGTGAGTGCTTTCTGCCTAGTCCTGCCAAGTATATCTGGGTCCAGCAGTGAAAAAAGTAGCTTTGACGTACCTGTAACGTTGAACTCTCGAGAAATGACCGTTGCTTATAAGTCAAAACTGCACATTCGAGAGCGCTGAGTATGGTGGGAGAGAATAAACGAGCCAGAGGGGCAGCTATAAAACTTACGCGTGGGGTCCAGAAACGAAAAATGTTCATGAGGTGGTGTACGTTAAAAAGAAGGCGCTTTGAGAGCTTTTGCAGAATCTCATTGGTCAGAGCCTTATCGCCGGATGTCATCATACAAACACGTACGATGGCTTTGCTTGTGGTCTACTGGTTACACACTGGTGGCTTCAGCTGCGCCCCCGTGCACTATCCAAACTGGCCACTCGTGTATAACCAGTAGACCACACGCCGCCATCGTACAACATAACATACATCTCCACACCAACATCATAGAAAATGCCTATCAATGTGATCCCCAATCTTTGCAGATAATACACGATCCAAAATAAAGTCACCAGTTTTCAAATACTCTAGCATTAAGTTAAGCAACGATACTGAGGCAGGTTTCAGGTCTGGCACTTCCTACAGTTACTCTAGAAGAAGCCTGTAAATTTTAGACACAAAACTTGCTTTCTTAAGAGGTATACCATACAGCATTTTCGAAAAGCTTAAGATTGAATTCTCTTATGGCGAGGAACAAAAATATATTTTAGTACGTAAAAAGCAGGAGGATGAATGCACAAAAACGGACCTTGCGCACGCATATATACGTGCAGAAGTGCATTCTACGGTGTCAGTTTGACAAATTGTTGGCAGCAAAACAATTCTTCCTTCATGTTCTGGCATGTCAGATGGATCAGGACATGCTGCAATTTTATTGCTCCCAGATACGTAGAACGCACGTAACGCAGTTGCGCGTATGCGTGTGTGATTTCTATTTAATCCACATAATTCCCTGTCACTGAACTCTTAATACGGCAAAGTCTAAATAATCCAGTTATGAAGTTTCATGACCACCTTCCTTGTTCATAAATTAATATACATAGCTCCGCCTCTAAGCAAATGACGCTTCGATGCTGAGTCACTGTGCGTGTGGTAGCTATTTTAAAAATCATAGCCAGATTGACCTCAAAGCCCCAAAATATGTTAAAATGTAATTGCGCTGGCACAAATAGCTTTCTGGTTCGTGTTGAAAGCTGATTCTATACATTACAGTGTTAGTTTGACAACTTTGTCAGGGCAAAAATATTCCTGCAATGTCTTGTTTCTTGCAAATGTAGCTGACATGCTTGCATATGGAACTGAACATGCAGGAATTTTTGGCTTGAAGTGAGTTGTCACCACTGTGTTTGCCCATTTTTAATAATGGGATAAAAGTACTAATGTACCACCGAGCATCAGAAACATGCTCACGGGAATCCCATACACTTGTGTGGGTTAGTATTATACTGCTAGTTGTTACATTGTTTATCTTCTACTGATGGTCTCTCGTGAAAGAATATTATTGCATGTATGACTCCATACTCTGTGTACTCCAGTACTGACGAGAGAGGGTGTTATAGGTCGGTGTGTGAAAAGCTAGACAGAGATGGTATGTACACACAATCGAGAAACTAAGTCGCACATTTAATTCACGACTTTAACTTTTCGCGCACATAATTTCTACTCAGTTCAGCAAGTATGGAACGGGTTCATGAATACTAGGCCTAGAAACTGCTAAGTAAAATGGTGGGAATCTAGCCATGCAGTGCCCATGCAATATCCAGTGCCAAAACAGTAATTGCAATGTTTTAGTATGAAATTGCCCTACTACAGAAATACCTGGTAATGTTTTGTTTTAGTGTAGACGAGGTAGGCTTAGATTTGGGTCCCACCGAAGATCTAAATACACCTCCTTTTCTTTTCCCATTTCCCCCCAGTTGCATCTTTGGACTATTATAGGGGTCTTCAGAATGATGGGGGTATACATCAAAAGTCCCAGCTTTGGAACCACCAGCCTGAGAGCAGAAAATAACATTCTGGTGATATCTAGCCATATGAGTTTCTTCTAAAAATTCCATTCTAGTACAACATTTGACTCATTAACCACATAAGGATAAATACTAACGGGGGACACCACACCCCCTAGGACTTTTCCACAGACTTTGGGATGTTTTTGCACGTGTCACAGTCAATCTAAGTATGAGCCATGGAAGCTAATTGATATACAAGCAAAGTGTTATTACAATTTAGGCGGACCTGACATAGAGGCATAATTATAATGAGGACTTACGCCCGTTGCAGGTTCGTGAGGGCACACTCACAAAAACGCTACAACTCATGTTCTCATCTGCTTTGGAGATTTGAGGGGAAAGAACTGCATTTACACTAGATTGAGTAGGTGCAGCCTTTCTGTTGCACATGTATATACTCATCATGCTGGCACTACTAGTTCTTCTGCAGAGAAAACTTTGGTGAGTTGGAATCCTGTAAAATTGTGTGTATGCTAACTAGGCAGACTAACACACATAACTTAAGTCAAAATGCTTAATTGTAGGAGCTATGCTGCATGACCTTCACGTGTGGGCCCACACTGCCATATAACAAATATTCGCTGCATACACCAATTGTAACAGACCAGTTTAGCTGGTGAGCTTGGTTTGAAAGGTTTGGGTTTGCTCTGTGGGACCTTTGTTTCTTGAGAAGGAGGTAGGACTACAACAGAGTGAGCAAAAACAGAGTGAACAATTCAAAGAGGGGCATTCACATTCATAATTACCAATTAATTGTTTTGGAGCTGATGTTATCCAAAAAATTAACATGCCTTGACTAGGATTATCCTGACTGATATGCACACAGATCCCTGTATGTATGTACTAGCCCAGAGAGAGCCGTTTAATGCATCGCTAGACACATTGGGTGTCCATGGCTACAACAATTTTGAGCATCTGCATTTATTTGTTTGTCACAATGGTGTAAAAAATCATTTCTTTAAAATGATTGGGATATATAGGGAGGATGAAAAAAGAAAAAAACAAGGGGTCATTACACAGCTAAGTCACACAAAGCTACATGACACCATCCCGGTTCTATTGAAAATACGTACAATCATACAAAGATGTAAGGATGGTGTGATGTAGCATATCTCGTATGGTACGCCAAACCGGACAAAACCCTGACGTAAAATCATCCGTTCCCGCAAACGTTCGTTAAAAGGTTTCTGTAAACGTTTAGCTATACGCGACGGAAACGTTTGCAAAATCGTTTCCCAGAGCGTATCAAAAAACATTGTTGCCAGATAGCTAATAGAGCATGTGCGGTGCACTCGTGGCTGAAAATGAATGCCGGAGGAGACGATGATCATCTCTCCCTCAAAAGTGGAAGAAAGCCATCGAGTTTCTTCCATTGTCCCTCAAAAGTGGAAGAAAGCCATCGAGTTTCTTCCATTGTCCCAAGGACTGCAATGGGGACATTTTCCGCGAAGTCAATGCACGCTTCAACGGAAAATGCACATGCGAATGAAAATAAGGCGTGGAAACTGGCTAAACGAAAACGTATAATTAAACGAACATTTGGTTAATCGTTTATTCCTAGAGCCTATTGATGAACACTTCAAACGTTTAGCTAAACGTTTGCAGAAATGTTTGCAGAAACGTTTCAACGAACGTTTGCGAAAACGTGTACACAAACGCTTCCCAGAGCGTGCGTAAAACAGGATGGTGGCATACTTTTGTCGGGTTTGGCGTTCGTTCCATGATCTCGCAATGGCTGCTCTTTCGGCTGAACCTGGTAGGAAAGCGCTCTACTCTACCGATATGAGATGGAGAGCCATGTGGCAGAGAGCTGGTATGGAGTTACCCTTCCGAGCTATAGCCAGAACTTTGAATGTTGCAGTTGGGACCATTCACAACACTTGGAAGAGATTCGTCAAAACAGGAGATGTTATACCAAGGAAAGCTGATTACGTATGTCGATCAAAGGTACTTGAGTGAAAAAGACGAGCTAATAATCTTGGGTATCCTATATGAGGATTGCACGCGTTATCTCTCTGAGATTTGCCAGATATTACAGGTGTGTCTGTTACTATAATTATGTAGCATAATTCACAGAAATGGGCTTACACGGAAAAAGGTGCAGCAAGTGACTCTTCAACGATCATTTCAGTATCGTAGTGCATTTATGAGTCAAGTACTTCTTGTATGGGTTGATGAAACAGGATGTGATAGGAGGGATCATATCCGACGCTATGGGTATGCATTGTGAGGGCAGCGTCCTGTTCAACACCATCTTCTTGACCGAGGAAAACGTGTTTCAGAAATTTGTGCCCTTACAATGGATGGGGTACTGTGTGTGGACCTACCACTTGGAACTGTTGATGGTTCGAAATTTTTTGACTTCATACGTGCTGAGCTTATATACCTATTTGATGGCCAGAATGAACATATTCTTTATTCATTCTTGACAACTGTGCAATACATCACATTCAAGAGGTTAAAAATGTTCTTAGAGCTGCAGGCATATTGGTCTTCTTCTTACTGCCATACGGTCCAGACTTAACCCAGCAGAAGAACTGTTCAGTTATGTCAAATATTACTTGAAGGAACATGACCCTGTTTTACAATCTATTCCTACTTTGATCCCAGTACTGCAAGCTGCCTTTGACAGTGTTACAGCAAAACAATGCTGCGGTTGGATAGAGCACTCTTGTTACTAAAAATGTATGTACATATTATACGTGCAGTGCACGTTTAAAATGGTAATTTTTTTATACAAAGCACTAAAAGAGGGCGTACCGGTACGGGCAAACCTGATTGTCCATAGAATCATGTGTACCAATATGGAGCATATGGGCCCAAGTGTGTAGCTGCTCTGGAGCATATGGGCCCAAGTGAGTGTGTAGCTGCTCTGGAGTATATTCACCTCCATGTTTATCCTTCAATGACTTGAAAATTATGTTAACATCATCTGCTGTTTTTAGCTGAGAGTCAAAATTTGAAGGATGCCTTGTATGTGTTGGGACTTTAGAACTCTTTGTGGGTATTCTTGCTAATTCCAGTAGAGCACCAAAGTTCTTACTTTTGTGCTAAAAATACATCTTATCTAGATCTCCATTATCACAAAGCCCATATCCACCAGGCTAAGATAAGATAAGTCGAATGTTGCAGAAAGGTTAGTTTGTAAAAACCCATGCAGGTCATCGAGTGATGCACAATGTTTCTTTCCACGAACATTAACTGTTTTGAGCTCACTCAAACGAGCAGGATTTATAATCTTCAACGAATATTCAAACTCTTCTTTTGGAGAGCAACCCACAGGTGGATGGTTAAACAAACAATGTCAAGGTGCGCGTACTGTCTGTGCTCTTAGCTACCTTAAAAACAGCAGCTGTCACAATTTTAACAGGTTCCTTTGGTCAGCAACAGCAATAACAGGAACTGAACAGCCAGCCTGAGAGCTCATCCACATATGAGAAGCATGGACCTTTCCAATGCTGGCGTTTACCAAGATTGTTCCATCACTGCCTTGGTTCGGCTGAGCCCCGCGTCACCTCATGTCACATGATTATCATGTGCGCTGTGCTCCGGAGGGTGGGTGGCGTGCAAAATGGGAATTTAGATGCAAACAAAATTGACTGTAGCCAAGCTCTTCAATTAGCAGTACCGCGCATCGCAGTTCGCCGAGGGTTTGCACTTCAGTTATTTTTACTGTACAGCATCCGGCTATGCCTCGTGCTGTATATTTATTCTAGTCATGTTACTACTTGAATGTCCTTCATTATGGTCACAAGGTGCGTGTAAATATCGGCATACCTGATTTGAAATAGTAAGGATTATCATCAAAGAAATCTGTTGGATGACTGTGAAGCTTGAATGCACCTCCTTTTTGTTTAGATTTAGCTGTGTGATGCTCCATCTGAAAAAGCATGATATCAGTAAGTACGGTAGTGCTATAGGGTGTCAAAATAATTATAGGATATGATCTGCTCTACACAGCGCTTTAACCGTGCCATTCACGCATAAAAGGGAAGTCTCATTTTCGACAAGTTTGGAGTTTGCCCGACAAAAACACACTGACACAGAAAATGGCAAGTGTTTCTACGCTTTCTTGAAGGAAATTATGGTCCATAGCTCTTGCCTAGACTGAAAACAGTCACAGAAACACAACCATGAGAGCGAGAACCTACGAAACCATCTCTCCTCGAGAGAGCGAGTGCAGCATGCACTGCTGGGTTATCGGCAAAAAAGCAGCTGCACAGCTTTCTAAACAGGCTGGCAGGTCAATTGCAGCATTTTCAGAGCTCATGGACACATTTGTCAGCAGTGTCGAGTGGTTGCTAAGAGAAGCAGCATGCTTCACTTCGGTCTGTACACTACTTGAAACTCTGTAAGGCGTGTTTTAACCATTAACGGCCATGGTTTGCAGCATATGCATGCTGTACAGGGGGTAGGGTACCGTTTGAGTGTGAGTTCACTCGCGGAGCCGAGCCCCGTCAGTGCTTGTGTGCTTATGAATTTGCGTTTGCTAGTTTGTGTGGAGAATGGTGTGTGTGGAGCTGTGCTGTTGAGTTGCAAGGATGCTGGTAATCTTCTCCTCTGACCGAAGTGTTAACTACACTGCTGCGCCCTGTTTTATACCTGGAGAATATCGGGATTGAGAAAATCCTGTAAATTTGCTATTCGTCTGAATTTATCCGCCCATTGCACGTTCATAAGGGTAACTCAGAATAGCTTTGACATATATACCTATACCTGTACATTGAACTCTCGGACTGACTGTGGCGTAGGAGTCAAAACTGGGCAGCTGGACTAACGTAGCTGTCTCTCAACCCTCGGCGCGCATGCACAGCGAGGGTTACGGTAGTTGGGTTTGTCTGTCTGTCTGTCCATGCTCCAACTCACTTCTCGATGGTATATTCGTCCCACAAACGATACGACGTAATAAACGGGTAATAAGAATCAGTTTAATCGAACGGTTTTCTCTGATAATGCTACGTTGCAGAGATGTGAGCGTTACCCGCGTACATTCCGTCGGCCATTTTTACTGGCCGAAAACGAGCATGCGCATTATATATTACGACCACGTGGCCGTCTGGAAGAGCTAGAAAGACGTTCGTGTGTTACGATTTTCCCTGGCTATCATGCCTCCAAGCAAGGTTTGCCCACAATGTCAAGCTAGTGTACCACTAAAGCTGAAACTGTGTAAATGTTGCCAACATGTGTTCCAAAGTAAGAGAAAAGCAGAATATAGTTTGTCTGACCAAGCCACGAAACGCATGAGAGTGTCCAAGGCCACTAAAAGAGCGTCAGAAACAAGCGAGCAAAGTGTGCATAGAAAACAGCAGGACAGAAAGTGCAAAGCAAGGACGAGAGACAATGCGCATGAGTTTATCATAGTGCGCCACAAACCGCGTGCGTCATGAATGCGCGCGTGTGCTATTTATTATCGCTCAATCGTATAAACCCGGACCACACATATTATGTTTAAGCAAACGTGTATTGGCATCATAGCCCCGCTGTGGGACTCCACGCCGAGGGCTTAGCACTTCAGTGCCTTTCATTATCAGTGCAACCGCTTTTAGTGAGTGGTGTGCACTTAAAGGAGGGCATTTTTGAGGGATCTCTGGTCACACTGAAAGTCATCACACAATATTGAGGCACGTGGTCAAAGGGTTGTGTACGAGTGGGCAGTTTTTATAGGGCATGGTTGGCAGGTATATTGCGCAAACTTATGACCCCAACACCTCTCTCTTCCCCTCTTCACCTCTCTCTTGCCCACTGACTCTCTCACCCACCTACCTACTCACCCACTCATGCAACATCTTGAGACTCATTGCATTGAAGTTCAGTTAGTTCTAGGAACAGCTGATGTCTGGAATTCTAGACACCACAGAGTTCAAATGAACGTGGAGAGATGGTACTGAAGGAAGAACAGACTAGTGTTTTCAGCTTGCACAAGCATTGTAAAGCACTGACCTGTAAGTCCAGGCTGCATTTTACATTCCTCAGCTTAAGCATACGACATGAGGACCAAAGAATGCTTACTCCCTTCTGTTGTGGCCAGTGATTTAGAATGAGACTACTCTCCAACCACAACACTGATGTGGAGCAATGAGAGCAGATGCGCTGTAGTTCACAGAAATAAAGAGGGGCCCCAGCCCCTGCAGTCCCTACGCCACTGCCTTATTTCACATCAGTGTTTCTGTATGTGCTATTGACACTGAACAGCTTCGTGTAGTCATCAGCACCACACAACAATGCAAGTGATGTAAATCTGCCTGCTCTAAGAGCAGTGTCAATGCTGGCAATGAGTTTCACACCCAAAATCACTCATGTGATGCACGCTCACTAATTAAGGCCATGCCAACTCATTCTTCTTACGCCCTATGTAAAACATCCATCAAGGTTGCCATTAATCCTACATTGGTGACCACAGTGTGAACGAGGAGACACCGCATGGCCACAGAGGAAGGAGCAGGTTCAGCCGCCAACTCAGCTGTCAGTCTGAAGCTGCATCGCAACGAACGAAGTACGATTATGTCGTCACCTCCCTCTCTCCAGAGTTCGCCGCGGAAGTGCGGGACCTCATCCTCCACGTACAGGAAACCTGTACGACACGCTCAGGCAACAGCTAATGGGCATGCCGTCCAGAGCAACGACACTTACAGCTGCTCTTCCATTCCACGGAACTCGGTGACCACAAGCTGTCCCAGATGTTGGGGCGAATGAGTCAACTACTGGGAGCGGCCCCTACAGACTCCGACGGTCCTCTCCTCTGAGAGCTGTTTTTCCAACGTTTACCCGCAAATATACGCATGGTGTTGGCCTCAGTCAACGAGGGTAAGAGCCTGGAGGAGATTGCAGAGCTGGCCAAACAGAATCGTTGATACTTCACCTCCGACCGTGGCACCGGCCACTCCAGCGAGGGACGCAATTGGGTCCCTTCGTTCGGAGGTCGACCTATTGACAAAGTTAGTCACAACGCTAAGATGGGAACTACTCCTCTTGCCATCGCCCCGCCGCGTTCAGCCACGCTCTCAGACGTCACCACCTGGTACCCGTCTCTGTTGGTATCACGCTCGTTTCAGGGATGCCAGAAATTGCACCCCGCCCTGCTCACAGTCGGCAAACTTTTAACGGCGACGGACGCCCCTGGCCTACACCCCAGTCACCTCTTTTACATTACGGACAATTACATGCTACAAGTAAGTCATTCTATATTTTTCTACCATGTTTTACTGCTACAAGTAGGTTATTCTTCTTTTTTGTACCACAGTAAGTAAGCTAGATTCTATTTTTCTATTTTTCTACAATGCTACAATCTCATTTTTCTACTATCTATGTTTGTATAATATATATTTATATGTATCATACTCTACATGTGTTGTTGTGACTGTGTTGTTGTGCAGTTTCTCACTGTGTGGCTGTCATTCTTTTGATGTGGAGTTTGGATACTGGGTGTGTGGGGAGAGTAAAAGACTCTTTAACCCACCGTCCCGGTTCTCAAGGCTGGGCACCCGGTGTCCTGCTCTCATGTCATGTCATGTGTATTTGTGTATGTGTGTTTTGTATGGATATTTTAGGGTTTGTGTATATATGTTGGTGGTGGTTTTTATTTCTATTTCTCTCTACCTATGGCTGGTATGCTATGTTCATGCCCCTACGTTCTCTGGTAGACACAGGCACGCAGATCAGTGTCATTCCAGCCACACCTTCCTACCGGAAAAATGCATGATCCGACCTAGTGCTGCAAGCCGTCAATAATTCACCAATTCGCACCTATGCCACCCGCTCCCTCACCCTCAACCTCGGGCTCCACCGGACATTCCGTTGGTTATTTGTGATCGCAGACATAACTACCCCAATTCTAGGTGCCTACAGCCTGTCAGTGGATCTTTCCCAATATCGGCTGGGAAAAAATGACCAACCTCACTAGTAAGGGTATCATGGTGTCGAAAATTACATCACCCAGCCCCACTATCCGCCAAAGGAATTAAAAACCTGTTCAAAGCCCTCCTCGCAGCGGCATATGTATGTGGTCTGGTAAAACACAGTGTTACCCATCACACCCCACTGCTGGACCCCCCGTTATCAGGTCGCACCTGGGGTTTGGCCCATGAGAGAATCAAGATTGCACGTGACCACGTGCTGCAATTGGGGGTCATACGGCCATTGGCCAGCACCTGGCCTGCACCTGGCCAGCACCTGGGCGTCTCCCCTTCACATTGTCCCAAAGAAGTCCCTTGGAGACCGGCGGGATAACAGGGCACTCAACAGAGTTACTATCCCAGATCGCTACCTGATTCCACACATCAACGACTTTGCCACCTCGCTCTATGGTACATGTATCTTTTACAAGATCGACCTGGTGCGGGCAAATACAAGTCGAGCCGTCTGACGTGCCAAAGACTGCCATCATGACACCGTTCGGCCTTTTGCAGTTCATCCATATGCCGTTTGGGTTAAGGAATGCCGCCCAGACATTTTAATGTTTCATAGACCAGGTTCTCCGATGGAGGACGAGAGGAACACAGAGAGCACCTTCGAGAATCCCTCAGCTGGCTGAGTGATCATGGCATAATCATCAACCCCAACAAATGTGTCGTTGGAGTCCTAGAACTCGATTTCCTGGGCCATCGAGTGAGAACACAGGGCACTAACCCCCTCGAGGCAAGGTGCTGGGCCATCAGGGACTTCCCTCAATGTACTTTGTTCCGGAAGCACCAAAAATATCTCGGCCTGGTCAACTTCTACTACCGATTCACACTGTGCCGTGCTTTCGGAACCACTCAACAATCTCCCCTTCGCAGCAAGGGGCAGCGCACATCAGCTTCCGTGGGATGAGACAGCATACGGCAGCAATCAAGAATGACTTTACTCTCCTATCGCCACATGGACCCACTTGAAATATGGCCGGCGCCTCTGAGTGTGCAGTTGGTGCAGTCCTACAGCAGTACACTGGCGAGGGTTGGCGCCCAATCGCGTACTTTTCCAAGAGACTCTGCCCAGCAGAGTGGAAGTACATCACCTTCGACTGCGAGATCCTGGCAGTGTAACTCGTCATAGAGCACTTTCAACGGTTTGTGGAAAGACGTGAGTGTACTTACTGACCACAACCATTAACATTCACACTTTCAACCCACTCAGAGAAATTCTCCCTTCGTCAAGCTCGCCACCTTATCCGACATGTGAGCGGGGGAGCTAATGTGGTGGCTGATGCACTTCCACGGGAAGTTTCCGAATGCAGCAGCCCACTTCGATCGATTTCGAGGCCTTGGCAGAAGCTATAAAAATGACTCAGAGCTCCAGGCGCTACAGAACTCACCAACAACTCCGTTCATATTGCAGTCGTACCTCTTCTTCTCGTTGTTGTTGTTGTTGTTCAGTTTAGACAAGCGCATCTAAAAAACCACTAAAGATATGGACATGGAACTTTGCACAAAGATTAGAATCCATGACCCGGCATGCAAGAGCATTTTAATTTGTTCATAAACAATGTTGTTTACATGTAAACAAAAAAAATAGCCCAAGCTCATACATTATGATATAGCCCAGAATGATAAAAACTTTGTACACCCATGCAACCCATCATTAGTATCAAAATGGAAACATTACAAGTATGTAAACCACAACAAACAGCCTCAGGCAATAAATACTTGTAAATGATGTTTGTGCCTCTAACTTGCTTATTGTGGGTCCTCTAACAATGAAACTTGGTACGCTGATGTACCATGATGAGAATTCATCGAAACAAACTTGTAAAATGTGTTTGTCGCTATAACTTGCTTATGGTGGGTCCTCTAACTATGAAACTTGGTACACTGATGTAATGTGAATGACAACAAAACGTCTGAGGCTTTAGCTTAAGGCCACTAATGTTATGTTTTTATGGGCTTATGCCCAACTTTTTATTGCATACCATGCATGTGAATGCAGTAAAAAAGGAAAGGAGACAAGTAAATAACAAATTCTTTGAATTAAAAAGGTGTGCAATATAGGGATGCCAGGAGACAAGACAGGGATGACCTAGTGCATATTATGATGCATTAGTACAGTGGGATGATGGTTACATCTTGAAACTGACATTGCTTGCTCGTGTAAATCTTCCTCCACACAAGCCCTATATTGTCGCCACCTTTCTCACAACATGAATTTGTTTAGTGTGAGGACAATGGTGAGGCTGAGACACATTGATCCACTCGTGCATAAGAAACGAGTCATATCTGCCCATAGATCACTCGTGCTAGCAAGAGATTATAATGACAGTGCATTTGGCCGGCACTCTTTAGTCAAGTCCCCTCTCTCAAGAATAATAAGACCAGTCTGTAAAGGAATTCTCTGGAGGGCCATGAACACAGCATTCATCGTTAGTTGAGCGAACATGGAAGTCTTAGACTGCACACAATGCAGTCACAACCAAAAACTGAGGAGCTGTCAGAGAAGGCAACACCTGTGCATCATGTGCTTAGGAGATGTCATTCCATGAGGGAGCACACTCATGCTTGGTGACAATGTAGGGCTTGTGTGGGGGAAAATTTACATGAGCCAACAATGTTAGTTTGAAGATGTAACCATCATCCCACTGTACCAATGCATCACATGCACTAGGTCATCCCTGTCTTGTCTCCTTGCTTTTTATGGCATCCCTATAATCCACACTTTCTTAATTCGAAGAATTTTTTACTTACTTGTATCTGTTGTTTACAAAGATGTGGTCGTGTGGACGCATGCGTACCAAGTTTCATCATATGTGCTACTGTTAGCGACTTTGATGAGTGAAGAAGAAGGCATTAATTGTTGATGTTTAAGTTGAACTTGCCCCCACAATCACAGAGCTTGAGAGTAGCACACCAGGGAACAAGATCGAGATCGTTGGCCCAGGGAGTATAAGCGTGCTCACAATGTGCTAAATTTAGTGCACCATGAAAAACAGTAAAACATTTTCTGAAGACCTGAATACCTGTGTTATTATCCAATCCCTATAAGTCTTCTTTCCTTTTGCGGATTTTACTTGTAGTGCATAATGTCTAATTATTACTCATAATTTATCGTATATTGAGTGTAACGAATGTACATTGTGCTCACATTAGTGGTGCCATGAAAAACATTACAAAGCCTTGTGATACCCATGTTAACATGCTATGCCTATTATGTCTTCTCTTCTTTTACACCATCACAAAATTACTCTAGAACTAGTAACTTATACATAGGTAAGTATTACTCACTTTTTTATATCTCTGAGGTATCATATGGCTCACGTTGAAGGTTTATAGGCTGGACCAATTACTACATCCACAGTACCTAATTTAAACACTTTGTGTGGAGGTTATGGTGCAAATACCTAACAATGGCATACATAAACCTGGGAGAATGTGTTCTGAACTTAAAAGAAAGAGGCACATAGGTATCGTATCAAATCGAAATGGGAGACAGATATGATGGGATACCGAAGCTGTGATTATGAACATATTTGAGCACACTGCACCCTCCCAACACAAGCCACAATCCCTATATTGTTGCCTTGTGTGCCATTGAGGACTGTGTTGTGTTACTCAATGAGAATGACCTACTAATGAAAACAATATCGGGATGGAATTGTGTTATGGGGTCAGGGGTGTCAGCGTGCTTTGAGTGAGCTTCGTTCGGGGGAAGGCATTTTCCATGACGACCAAATATAGTTTGAACAATAACTACAATTATTGTCTTAAAATTACTTCATTTGCTAACGGTAACGCATGGAGTGAAATTGGTACGCATTAGTACTACATTGTTTCCATGGACGACCACACATATTCCAACAAAAAGCTTTTCCTCACACCTCAAAGTTACTAATTGTAGAGTGCATATAGGCAGTATCCTAATCTAGGTTCTCATAAATACTCTAGTCAGAAGAATTATATTTAGACTTCGCCTGATTTAAATTGACCAATCAGATTGCGTAAAACGTGGACTCTAAATCCCGTATTTTCCAAGTGCGTGTTCCCATGGAGATCCCCCCGGGGGTAATTTTACGCGCGCTAACTGCGACATAGATCTAATAATGCGCATGCGCGTAGGTTGCGTGTAGCTAGATCAGATACAGTACAGTAGATATGTGCTGGTAGTGGTAACAGCTGCAGTTTTGAGCTGTGTAGTCTAGTGCTACTCGGAGTCCGAGTCGTCCAAGATCACTGCCCGCCTCTTTTTTGGCGGCTTCTGATTTTCTTCCCCACCGCTGACGCATCCGATGTTGAAAGTTACCGAACAGTGCGAGAAGGTTGCAGAGGGGAGACTAAGACCCTGCAGCAGCTGGCTGTTTTGGGAAGACTGAACACTAACTGCCGACCGCTCGGTTACAGTGCTCGGGGCGCCCTGCCTGTTTAGTATATCGGAGAGAGCCTCCCTCTGGCTAGCGGACGTCCGCTTGTAAGACCTCACCCCGTCCAGGCTTCGGTGTCCAGTCCTCTCCATGACTAGCTGTTCATCAACGCCGCTCTGGTAAAGCCTGGTGGCAGTGGTGGCACGCAGGGAATGGTTGGTTTTATGCCCTGGTATGCCGGCACTCTTGCAAATTCGACCAATAGTCTTCGCTAGTGTGGTGTGGCCCAAAGGTCGCGACGAATACCAACAGCTCGGGGTTGGTTTGTGTAGAGGCTGCAGATAGAAAGCATGTGAAGGAGCATCTGGGGGACATCGCTGCCTGTACAGTTTGAACAGACGAACAAAGCAACGGCCAGGGGAATCCGGGTTGGCATGGTGGAGAACGACTTTCTGTTGGACCTTGCGGCCATTCAGCCCACCCTGATGATTTTTGGAGACGTCCTCTGTGTACTGTAACTAGGCTCTCTCCCCTGGCCGTTCCACCACCTGGATCTGGCATGGCGACTTTCGTAACTGCCGATGCTCTTAGCCGCTACGCAGGACAAAGCACAGACCACAGTAGTAGATGATTGTGTCCAAGAGGACCTGTGGGTTCGAGTCGCCGAGGAAACCATTTCGCCAGAGGGTTTCCTCCTCCTCCACTGTTATGACCTCCGCCTGCCGTTTGCTTGAACCAACACCTTCACTCTGCAGCCGCTTCATTTCAGAATCTAGTGTGGCACGAAAGTCGCGAAATTCGAGGTCTTTGAGGACGTCAATACATCTTCCACTGCACCTCATGTACCTGACCAATCCCATTACTATGTGAAGTAGAGAGTTCGGTGGATATGGTTCGCCGTTTCTTTTTCGTGCCTCTAGGACAAACCGAACAAGCCAAAATGATAGTTGTGATGCTGGCATTGTTGTAAGGGATAGGGGGCGAATGGGTGTCTCCCCCCCTTTCTTTGCTCCACTCTCCCCATATTTTCAGACAATATTGCGTGTCTCTTTTGGTTGAATCAGGAATGCCGTCTATTCGGGCGCGTTCTATTTGTTCCTCGGTTTGCGGGGGAGCAAACCTCAGGGCGGAACTTCCGCTTTGCTGCTGGTGGGTGGTGCTCGTTGTGGTCTGTTGTCGTGCGGCAGGAGGCGCGGGCGCAGACGACGTGGGCGTGGCAGTTGTAGTGCGCAACTCGAACTCTTGGCTTGCCGCTACTAGCAGAGCGTCGGTGTCGTCGTCGTCACCGGCCCATTCTCTAATCTCCCCGCAGAACAGTTCTCCAGCGTCCATTTTCGGTAACTGAGCGTGAACTGATTTCTCTGTTGCTATGCTTTTGAGTCCCGCTCCACCAATAGCGCGACTTCTCAGTCTAAACCGGTTATTCTGCTCGTCCAATGAAAATACGTGATTT